TCAAAATTGAGAAAGGAGTTCAGCAAGGCTGTATACTGTCACCCTGCCTATTTAACTTATATGCAGAGCACATCATGAGAAAGGTGGGGCTAGATGAATCACCAGTTGGAATTAAGATTGCTGGGAGAAATATCAACAACCTCAGATATGCAGATGATACCACTTTCATGGCAGAAAGTGAAGAGGAACTAAAGAGCCTCCTGATGCAGGTGAAGAAGGAGAGTGCAAAAGTTGGCCTGAAACTCAACATTAAGAAAACTAAGATCATGGCATCCGGTCTACTAACTTCCTGGCAAATAGATGGGGAAGAAATGGAGCTAGTGACAGATTTTATTTTCCTGGGCTCCAAGATCACCGCAGACGGTGAGTGCAGCCAAGAAATTAGAAGACACTTGCTCCTGGCGAGGAGAGCTATGGCAAATCTAGACAGCATACTAAAAAGCAGAGACATCACCCTGCCAACAAAAGTGCGTATAGTCAAGGCTATAGTTTTCCCAGTTGCAATGTATGGCTGTGAAAGCTGGACCATAAGGAAGGCTGAGCACCGAAGGATTGAGGCCTTTGAATTGTGGTGCTGGAGGAGACTCCTGCGAGTCCCTTGGACCACAAGGCAATCAAACTGGTCAGTCCTTGAGGAGATCAAGCCTGACTGCTCTTTAGAAGGCCAGATCCTGAAGATGAAACTCAAATACTTTGGCCACCTAATGAGAAGGAAGGACGCTCTGGAGAAGAGCCTAATGCTGGGCACAATAGATGGCAAAAGAAGGGACAGCAGAGAATGAGGTGGTTAGATGGAGTCACTGAAGCAGTTAGTGTGAGCTTGAGTGGACCCCGGGGGATGGTGGAGAACAGGAAGGCCTGGAGGAATGTTGTCCTTGGGGTCGCAATGGGTTGGACACGACTTTGCAACTAACAACAACAAAAGAAAGGCAGGCAGCAGAAGAACTTAAGAGTCTGGATATGACATTACTTTTGCTTTAAAGTGTATATTATTGAGTAAAGTTACCTGTTTTACATCCACAAACTGCACGCATTCTAGCCACATGCCCAGAAAGCCACATCCGCAATGAACACATTCTTGTTTGTGGGAAAGTAGCTTCTGGACTTCTAAATTCTGTTTTATTGCTGTTTGTAAATAACAGTTTTTATTTTCCAGCTGAGTGAAAATAAATCTTGCTGTTACCTCCTGTACAATTAAAAAAAAAAAGATAATAAGCAATATTATTGGCAAGACTTGCAGCAGAAGCTCAGAATGAATGCTTGTTATTCTCAGTCCAAAGAGGTGATGTTGTGAGTCCAGGACTCCATGTTCTAATAGTTCCTTCTCCGGGAAGACCTTGCAGCCCTTCATACTGGGTGGGTTTGCATTACATTTCTTTATTTTATTTAGGAAATGTATAGGCCATCCATCACTGTCGTCTCTGGACAGCTTACAGAATATTCTAAAATAAATTAGCTATTCCATGAACTGAGCATAAAACTGACATACTTAAAATAAATTACATAAATCATATACAATTAAAATTGGTTGACATTAAAATTTGGATCAAATGAAAAGGTCTTGACCTGACGCCAAAAAGCATATAATGACAGCCACAGGCGGATCTCTCTTTGGTAATGGCACTACAGGATTGGACCATGCTTCCCACTGGTCAATTTAATGTTACCCTCATGGGTTACTTGATTACAGTGGGAATTTGACTGTGATTCAGGGATCCATTTGCATATATTCAGAATTCCCCAACTTTACATAATGAAGGAGGGGATGACTTAACTCAATTAAGGTAGATGACCTACAAGTCATGGATTTCAATTACGATAAAGGTGGGTAGCCTAGCATATGCCCATCAGGATCTTCGTTCTCCTAGCTGCCATGAAATCCTTGGCCATGCAGCCCTTCACAGAAAAAACTTGACAAGATGATGAAGTGACACCAGTAAATAAAAAATGCAAGCTATACATGTACAATCTATAACCGATCAGCTCCTCGGTAACAGCCCTTACAAAGCCACTGCTTGACTGGAGAATAAGAGTCGTTCCCATTGCATTTGGAAATATTCTAAACACAAAACACTGTCAATCTACTCTGTGGGACATGCCAGGAGCAACGGGTCTAAACAAAGGATGGGCATTTTTCAGCCAGTAGTTTCTGTTGGCTTTTGATAACACTTGGAGGAAGGGACTTAAGCTGGAGCTGGCATTAGCAGGCAAGTGGTGCTGTTCTGTTGACCAGGAAAGGCAGAAGGCAAAATTCCTAGTATTTATAGTGCCTAGGAATCGTGGGGCCAGTGTTGCATGTCTCTTTACCTTCTTTGCCTGAAGGCAGCTCTGATGCCTGTATGCATGTAGGTCTAGTCTAACTCACAGCATCCCTCATGAGGTTTCTAGTTCAGACCTCAGAATCCCTGATATTTACAAAATGCCCACAAGTTTTGTTTTGTTTTGCTTATACAGTGCATATGAATTCTACAAAGCTTTTCTACTCATATGCAGCCAATTAAAAAACTAAAAGCTATTTGTCTGTATACATATTTACAAGATATAAAAAATTTACAGCTATATTGTTTTAACTAGCCAAGTTAATCATGTTCTTTTACCATCAGAAGAATTAAAGCTTTACTTCATATTGATATTTAAATAGCTGACCTTTTTCTCTGTAGAATAACCTTTTGAAAATGCTCAGATAGCTAAATTCACTCTGTTTCCAGGATAAATACTTATTTTATAATTACAGATGGTTCGTTCTGCTGTTTACATAAATATATTTGCACAGCCTACCCCCAAGGAAATTATTCTGTAGAATCTGGAAATACTTTGCTTTTATTTTAAAAATCAGGTATTTGTGTTAGGGTTTAGAAAAACAAATTGGGATTTAATTTATTACTGGTTGCAAAATCATTACATCAAACAATAATAAAAAGAACAGATATAGTATTCTATAGGGAAACAAATTGTCAATAGAAAAAAGAATTTCTTTAGAGTGATTGAGACATGGCTGGGTTCACACAACATAACACTGTATACTCAAAATTTAACGTTAGTTGTTGTTGAATTGTGCAAGTACTTGTTGAACTGTAGTGTGTTGTGTTGTATAAACCTAGCCATGCTAACAAACTGTGGTTTGTTACCCACAAACAACCCACAGTTCAGAAGCCAAGAACAAACCATGTGTTCTCTGTGGGGGTTGTTCATGGTTAATAAACCATGCTTGTTATTAAGGCTGTGTGAACCCAATTCACTGCTTGCTGAAGCTACAAAATAGTAATTTGGTACCAGTAATGCCTGTGCTTATCAGTTCTGGAAGATGTGAGCTAAACAGCACAATTTATTTTAAATGTATATAACTTAGGTGTGTAGTTTAGGTGTAGTTGCATTTTAACACAATTTATTATTGCAGAAGGAGTTGCAAGCTAGTTGAAGTTCCTGCTAATGGAAGAAATAAGTCAGTTTTGACTGATTTTCTTAACGCAGCTGTCCTACCTTGGAGCATAGCCAGCATTGTTCTTAACAAGCCAGCTGACAGTGAGGGAAGAGGGATCAGAACTGAGATTCCTAGCTCCAAGGATGCAGCAGCATCTCTGATTTTGGATTAGGAAACCAATTTATTCTATGCCCCTGTCCCCAAGCAATGTCTAGGGGCCATAAGAGTGTTACCTCCAGGTGTAATTCTGTGCATGCTTAGACAGAAAAGAGTTCTACAGCTTCCAGTATTCCTGTTTGGAGTATGCTAGGAACTGCAGGCCTCTCTTCTGTCTAAACATGCTTAGATTATAATCCACTTTACTTGGAAGTGAGTCCCACTGAACCTAATGGAACTTGCCTGTAATTATGTACAGGACTACACCAACTATCAGACTAACATATCACCTTCAACAGCTTGCCCAGCCCCATTTTCTGGACCACAAAGCACTTATTAAGAATTATTCCAATTATTTCTTTGAAATCTGAAAAACAAATATAATTTTAAAATCATAGTTTTAAAACTATGATTAATTTTAAAACTATGATTAAAATTAAAATTTAATTTAATTTTAAATTAAAATTATATTACTATTAGAGAAGGTTTACTTCTCTAATTAGTGACCTTAAGAGTCAAAATGTCCTCCTCTTGCACGGCACTAACTGGATTCTTCTGAAACAATGGATTGCCTTCACAATAAAGTTCCTCAAGCTCAAGTTCTTCTATCTGTTTAAATAAGACAAGAAATATTAATATGGGGTGGGGAGCTGGAATCTGTATTCATTCAAAGAAGTGCCATTCTAAATATTTTCAATTGATTTTAATTAACATAGAGTGAAAGGGAAAGGGTAAGAATACATATACATTACCTGGCAATTATACATTTGTTTAGATATGTTATCCTAAATTGACATAAAGAATGGTGGAGATGCAGAGTATTAAAGGACTGCTTTCTACCACATGACCCTGCCCATCTGCTCTGTTCAGCAAAGGCCCTTCAACCATACAAAGTACAGTTGGCGGAATTGGAGGCCATCTTTGCTGCTGAACAAATGCTGTGAAACCCCCTATCCTAATGGGAGATCAGTCTGGCTTCTCTTGAGGATAACTTTGTTCCTGAATAGTGTTTTTATTTTATTTTATTTTATTTTTTTGAGGGGGGCAGGCCTTTGGCCTGACTGATGCCTGATTTTATTCAGTCAGTCAATTGCATACTTTGGCCTACAGCTCCATTAAAAATATATAGTTTGGCCATATCCATAAGGCTGGGCTACATGCCTTTCAACTGGACTGAATATTTACTCATATGTGATTTTCAGATGAGAACAAGAGTAAAGCTTTTTAGTTGTATACATGTTAACTCCTCTGAAATATCTAGAAACACTTTTGGAAGAAATTATAGTTGTGAGTCTTCCTGGGTAAGTCTACATCAGTTTGTGCATCTTCCTCGCAAAATTGTTACTTGCCCTCAGTTCTGTGAAGTTTCCCAATCCCAGCCAAGGAAAGGCAACCCCACAACATGATGCTGCCACTACCTTGCTCCACCATAGAGATGGTGTTTTCAGCACAGCATGGCCCAGAAGTTCAATTTTGGTTTCTCAGACCAAAGAACCTTTTCCCACATGTTTGCTATGTCTCGCACATGCCTTTTTACAAACTCCAAACCAGCCTTGATGTAGGTTTGTTTCATTAATGACTTTCTTATCACAACTCTTCCATAAATTCTGGCTTTGTGAAGTGTCCAATAGGGAAGTATGATTCGGGGGGGGGGGGGGTCGAATCCATTGGATTCCCCTGACTCTGGTCTACTTTCTAGCATCTCTGAATCCATGTTCCTGGCAAGTGTGCCCAGTGCTCACAGGGCACTTGCCAGGAATTGAGCCGTTTGTGCTGCTGCACCTGACATGCAAGATTGCTAGTTGTGCGAACTTCATTCCACAAAAATTTGCAGGCTTCTTCTCAACTCAGCTCCCTTTGCAAGACCAGGCCAAGCACTGCAGAGAGTCCATTCCCCCGAGTTCAACCCAACCCTAGTACCTGGGTGATACTTGTCCCATGCACAGTTTCTTCCATTTCAGCTGTATATATTCCAATTTCCTTCAGAGTTCTCGTTTGACTTCTTGGTTGCTTTTCAGACTAATGTCCTCCTTGCCTAGCCACTGAATTTTGGTGGAGATCCTTCTTATGCAGAATGGCAGTTAAGCCATATTCTTTTGATTTCGTAATAATGGATTTCGCAGTGCTCTGGTGGCTTTTCGTAGTTTAGGATTTTTTAAATGACCCAATCCTGACTGGTGTTCCTGCACACCTTTATTCTGGATAATTCCTTGACCTTCATGATCCTGTTTGTTTACTCTCTCCAGTGAAATCAGAAGCCTTCTAGAAACAGCTGCATGTAATCTGAGATCAGGTGGCAGTGAATTTGCACACAGATAGATGCCATTCAACATGTGATTTCTGGAGGCAGTGTATTAAGACATGTCACAGCAACAGGGAAGATTACTTAATGAACCAACATGTGCCAGTTTGTTTTTGCTTACAACTTTTGTGCCAGAGTAAAAATGGCATTAAAAATACTTTGCACCTTAACAATATTAAATATCTTGTGTAATCAGGTGAATTAAATCTATTTCAATTCCAAGTTGTAATGTAAGAAAATGTGGGAAAGTAAAGGGGTCTCTGTGAATACTTCTGAAAGGCACTGTAGATAAGACAGTCCTGCAGATATCAATTTTACTGATATTATATAAAGAACCATATAAATAAACCCAAAATGCACCAACCTATTTTGAACACCTGTAATAAGTGTATAAACACACACACACAATTCAGTGCTGCTGCTTTATCTGTAAAATCACTTACAATTTTCCATCAATAAAACCTTGTGATTTTGTAACGTTAAAAGTTTCATACCTCCAGACATGAAGAGTGAATAGGCAACTGGGTCACATAGTTTGTAGCAATTGCCGTAAAAATGTATCAGTTGCTTACAATATTTTTAAATTATAACCATGACAGAATCCCTGAGGTGTAATCCAAAAATCTCCTTTACAAGAAATGTCAAAATATGATTTCATTCTCATAAAATATAGTGAAGAACAGATCAGTAAGTTTGGAACTCTTCAGTTCTCTAACTAGCAGAAGTTCCACATAAAAGTGACTGCTAGTTTTTCCTGAAAATGAATTTAGCAGATATTTATTAATACTGAACACAATCCAGCACAGTTAAACACATAAACCCCATTGATTTTAATGGGAAGGATTTACTCATGTGCTAAAGTCTTCCAACGAACCAATGAGGCTTAAAGGTGTTTAAATTTAGTTGTAGTGTATTAATTGTCCTTTAAAGGCACAATCCTATACATGTTTAAACAGAAAAAAATGCTGGGATATAGGAATTTTTCTAATTAAAACATGCATAGCTGGATATAAAAGGCTAGGAACCTGCATTTTCAGCCAGGATGGACAAATAGCTGTATTTCTTGTAACAAACACAGGTTACATCATAATAATTTGTGCACATCGGAGAAGAATTCTCATAGAATTCATATTTACATTTTTAAAAGTAGTAAAATTAAAAAGTATTGCTGCTAAAACAATCCAAAGAATTCTATCTTCTGAGAAAATAAGAGCAAGAGTCCCCCAACTCCATCTTCTTGTCCACACCGCCAGGAAGGAATGAAGCCACTGAGAAACAGTACCTCCAATTTCCATCCCAACAAGGCAGCTAAGAAGGATACCATTGTCAATAGTGTCAAATGTCACTGAGAAGATCCACCAGAACCAATAGGAACACACTTTCCTTGACTAGTTCCTGGTGTAGCTCTTATACCAAGGTGATCAAAGCTGTTTCCATTGTATAATCAGGTTTGATGCCCAACTTTAAATAGATCTAGATATACCATCTCAACCAAGAATCCATGCAGTTGGGAAACTACCATACACTGTAATACCTTGCCCCAAAGTGGCATAGTAGAGATTAGTCAGTAATTATTCAATGTAGTGTTATTCAGAAAAGGCGTTTCAACCTGGCTCACCAGTATCTCCTTCAGGAAGGCTGGAACCCTGTCTTAACCAACAGATAATCCACCTCTGGTGACTTTTATGAGCCATGCCCCAAAAATTGATGGAATGTAGGCGCCTATAACACTTCAACGTGTTTAATATGTGCATAATAGAGTCTCACCACTATTTTTTCCCGTTAAATGGGCTCAAGTTTTGACCAATCTTTTTTCACTGAGAAGTCCACACACAAGAAACATTAGCCTTTTATATTTTTCCCAGCTACAGTTCTGACCAACAGGTAAGACATGGCCTTTTTTCTACTACTATTTGAGTTTTATCGTGCATCAGAGACCTATTTTCATGCCAATGTACACACCATTTACATTATAGAACACTTGCAACCTTTTGTTCCTTTGTAATTTACGTAATTCTGAGACATGTAAAATGTTCAGTCCAAGGAAGGATTTTAGTTGAGAATCTGTTTGGTTTAATAACATGCTTGCCTTCATTTTCATAATTTTTGAACATTTTTCTTCAGGAATGTGTGTACTTTTCAGGCGTATATGTTTTAAAGTTCAACCAAAATAATCTAGAAAAAGACCTTTGCATCAATAGTGTGGGTCATTTGTACTTTCAAAAAGAAAAACTCTGCATGTGTAAAAATATAAGGTATGCACATTGAAACTTTTGTTCCTTTTCAGTCCTTTAGTTGTATGCACAAATGGCAGAGCTGAATTTATCCAGTATCCACCACAAGATGCAGTGGGTCAGAGATCTACCTCCCACTTTGTCATTATTTATTGTTTGTTTGTTTAATTTCTATACCACCCAATAGGTGAAGCCCTCTGGGTAGTGAACAACAATAATGTATAATATTATTGGCCATCCAATAAGAACAATAAGGTATTGGCCATCCCCCTATATATTAAGGGTCTCTTAATATATTTAGATTATTCAAATATATCCTTTGATATATTTGTGCTAATCTTATCATAACCCCTTTTGCTTCCCACCAAACTTTCCTAGAATTTCTTGTTCTGCATCCAGTTCCATAAACAACCCAAGAATGCACCATTCCTGGGTTGTCTGATAACATGTCTGAACCTGAAACTCTGGATTGTTGATGGACAAACAGCCTTGAGTTTCAACTCAACAACAAGCCATGAGCTAGAACTCTAGATTGTTATCCTTCAACAACCCAGGAATGGGTTGGGAGTAGCAGGTGCAATGAAGCAACATACTTGCCCAGTTCAGTATAGCCCTGACTATGGGTTTAATCTGTAGTTAGTTCTTGGATTCTGGCCATTTCTTCATACCATCTTCCTTAACATCTTTGTTAAGCTGAGCCATTGGTATCTAAGGGCAGCTTTAGTCATTCCACAAATACATGTAATACCAGTGCTAAACTGGTGGTCCCTACAGTGCTATACATTTATATAGACATCTAGAACACCTTTGCTGAACACTGCTTCAGCAATCATGGTTGCTGTGTAATATACCCAAAGTGGGCAATCATTTGTGGCTGCAGGCTGCTGCTCAAACAGGCTTTATTACTGATGCATCAGGAACAAAGTCTGAACATTAAAATTTTGTAGAAAATAGTTTCCTATCCATCTACCTTTTCTTAGCTGCATGACATAATTTAGTGCTGCCCTCAGGTGACTATTGATATTATTGCAAGCACGCATTCAAATATCCTCCCTAAGTCTCAGGCTGCTCCCAGACGGAGGGTCCCTAGCTCCAACAACCAGAAGGCACTATTCAGGTATTCCATCTTTTCCTTTCGTTTTTTCTTGACGGATTCCATGCAATAAGGAAAAAGACAATGCCAGTGGTGGGAATGCACAGGAGGACCATGTGTGGAAGATGACAACTTCTAGAACAGGGGTCCTCAAACTTTTTCAGCAGGGGGCCAGTTGAAAGGTGCCAGTGCTAGCCGCGGGCCGGAAAGGTGGTGCTGGCAGTGCACGCGGGCCAGTGAGGGGGTGGGGGTGGTGGGGGTGGGTGCATGCGCTGAGGTGGGGGTGGGGTGCATGGTGAGGTGTGGCGAGGTGCAGGCGGGCAGCCGTGCGCGGTGAGGGGAGGGAGGGAGGTGCACAAGGCAGAGGCTTGCTCGCTTGGAGATCATCTTCTCCGAGCGAGCAAACCACCACCTCCCTGCACGCGGGGCGGGGTGGGCGGCAGCGGGGGAGCGCATGGGTGTGGCAGGTGCAAATGGGCATGGCGGGCCGTATCCGGCCCCCGGGCCATAGTTTGAGGACCCATGTTCTAGAACCTCGTGGGTAAAACCCTGCAAATAAAGCAGGGCAATGATGTAATATAAAAGCCTCATCTGGAAGCATCAATTATAAGAATGTCTATATATTCTGTGGAGGTCCAAAGAACTGTTAGCAAAATTTCCTTCACACAGTATGACTTTTCTGTTTCTTCTTATGCATGGCAGCCTCACATATCCTGAAAAGCCATTTCCGAGCGTGGGAGACCCAGAATCAGTTTTTAAAAAGCACACAGAGACTAATCTTTTGGGGCAAGGAGGATACAAGTTCTGCAAGTATATGTCTTATCCTTTGCTTGCACTCCAAGGCTAAGCACTTCTGTTTTGCATGGGAGAGGTGACCTTTGTCTCTGCATTCCTTCTGCCAATGCAAGGTTGTCCATAATCCTAGAAGTTCAGAGGCTTATAGGAAGCCTCACTGGACAGTACCCAAGTAAGTTAATGAAAGGAATGTTTTCTGCCCTTTCCTCCCCCCTGCAGCCTCCCTCTTCAGAGGGTAGAGGAGACTTCCTGAACATTGCAAAATGGGGTGCAGAGGAAGGAGAAAAGTCAGGAGGAGATGGGAAGCCACCAAGAGATGTGAAACATTCCTTCCATGTACTTCTGTAAGTTAATTTATCTTAGTATTCAAACCCTTGGATTTTTTCAGACATCATCTGTTGCAATATTTTGTGACCAAAGATAAATACAGTGCCAGCCTCTCTGATATGAACAGGCAAACTGCTATTAAGGCTTTCTGAGGCTTCTCTTCCTTTACGTTGAATAGGTTCTCTTTTAAAGTTCACTCCATGTTGAACTGGATAGGAGGATTAATGACAAATAGCCTCACTAAATTGTCCAAGTGTCGGATTAATAAAGATGTGAAAAAAACTTATGAGAAAAAAATTAAATCAGTGTGTCTCACTTCCGTTTTAACAAGAAACTGTTTTGAAAGCAACTATGATTTCAGCTCAGAATCCAACACACAAAGGGAGGAGACCAAGAAGAATTACTTGGTCCCAGCATAATAAACATGGCTAAGCCTGGATTTCTACATCCAAGCAAGCCCAGAAATTAACTGAGGTCATTCAGAGGATTCACTCATACTTATACCTGCCTTACCTCTGAAACAACATCCAACCCCTTTTTGTGGCAACCTATATTTTGCTATTTTATCTGAATAGGTAAACTATAGTTTGTACTTGCATGCAAATAAGGATGGCAAACTAGGATCAAAGTAGTCAAGGAAGCATCAGAAGGAAGGAATCAATGTGCTCCAGAGAAAAGAGAAAGGAGGAAGTACAAATGCCTAAAGTCTCGTGCTTCAGTGTTATATTTAAATAATCCCACCTTCTTCCTAATTTTGAATTATGTATCAGTAATTATCTTTGGATGACCTAAGACAGAGATGCACAGCCTGTGCTCTTCCAGACATTTTGGCCTACAACCTTAATCAGTCCAAGCCTGCAGCACAATCAACAAAGAGAGAAGAATGGAGTTGTTGGTCAAAGCATTTGGAGGATTACAAGGTGTTCACCCTGGCCTAAGATTAGTTGTTTAAAATAAATGGCTGAGCAATAATATACTGGGGAATGGCCACAATAATTGGGCTTTTCTGAGCTGATTAGTGATCTTTCTGGGCTGATTCGTGATAAAGATTTGTGATCTTTTTATACAGAAAGAGACTCCTACTATGGACCAATACTCATGTTCTTCCGGACAAGTGAAGTTTACTAAATAAGCCCAGTGGGGTAAAGAGGAGAACCACCTACAAACTCCACAGAATGGACTATATCTCAGGAAACAAAAAATAAAAATGAAAGGAAGATGCCTACACTGTGTTCTAAATGGTTTTCAGTTTTCCATTTATAATGCTTCACACTAAAAGACAGATAAACTGATCAGGATTTTTCCCCAAGCACAGATATTTAAGTTCACTGGTACATATTTCTTTTTATTATACTTAAATCCTGCCTTTTTTCTTTCAAGCAACCCAAGAAGGCTTACATAATATTCCTCCTCTCAATATTACCCTCACAACAACCTTTTATATTTCACCAGCATTTTAAAAGTTAGCATTGTTTTAATGTTGTTTTTATATATTATTGTGATGCTGCATCTTATTTATCTATGCTATCGCTGCCCTGAGACACTGTAAATTTATGTATGTGGCATACCAAAAAAATAAATAAATAATGAACCCGTGAGCTTTGTGGCTGGCTAAAACTTGGATCTCCCAGATACCAGTGCTACACTATACTGGCTGTCACATATGGGGAACATAGTCCAAGTGAGGATTTGGCATGCCTGTTGTACTTGTTTTTGATAGATTGTGCTTGATGTATCCCTTATTAATTGTTGATGGACTTTAATTGGTGCTTCTTCCAAGCACACAAAAACTTCAGGAAATGTCATGAATTATGTCAGCGTATCTTTTTCTCCTTTTTATTACTACACATATGCTATTTTGCAGTCCAATCCTATGCATGTTTGCCCAGAAATAAGTCTCACTGGTTCCAGTGGGGCTTATTTCCAGGTAAGCATTCACAAGACTGCAGTTTGGATTATCATTTTATTTTAGTAGATAGTTTGTAAGCTGCCTTGGGCTTGCATGATAAAAAGTTGTACATTTCAAAAATTAATGAACATAGGAATACAAATCAAGTATATTTTTATAACTAATACAAGCACATTACAATATAGGTATTCCCACTTTATATTTCTAAAATTACTTTTACTAATTTCCACAATGTGCAGATTATTAATACTCATACTTACTTCAGCAGGGAAAATCTGGATATTGTTTCCTGCTACATCTAGAATTCTAAGTCTCTTCAGTTTGCAAAGTCCCTAGTTAAAAATGATAGAGTAATTGAGTTAAAACTAAAGTTCTATTAATAACATTATAGCAAATTAGTACTGCAGTGCTAAATGCAAGCACAAGTGAATGCACACTAAATGTGGTAAGGGGACTTCGGACTGTCAGAAGCCAAGAGCAGTGCCGCTAGGCTCTCACTAATACAGCCTCCAGCAGGGTCACCCGATGGAATAGCCAAAGCTAAGACACTAGACTAAGGTGCATCACCCCTCTTCAGGAGCAACATTCCCACCAACAGAAGAGGATGGATAGCTCTAATGGTGATTGGGGTGATCATGAAGGGCAGCTACTGGGCGAACTCAAAAAAAATGGAGTGGCTCAAATAGTGAGGCACGATATAGCACAGGAAATCAGGGGTTATAATGCAAAGTCTAACTGAATGATATGATCAGAAAATCCATACATATAACTATCATTCAATACTCTCCAAGAACAGACGTTGAAGAAGAAAATGTTGAAGTTGAAGTGAAAACGCTCTGAAAGCACTAGGAAGGCATATAAAGCATCCAATAAACATAGGATACCAACAGAACTTTTCCAAGCAGCAGAAACTGAATTGGTCCAAATCCTACCTAACAAGAATTATGCCAACAAATTCAGAAAACAAAACAATGCTTCACACACTGGAAACATTCCAAGCCCAAGAAAGAGAGATGCAAAAATTTTACCATCTTTGGAGCAAGACATGTCTGACATTCAAACTGGATTCTGAAAAGAAGAGATACTTGTATGTCAAATATGTCCTGAATCCAGAATTGTCACTTGAGTCACAAGTGCACTCACTGGCTAAGAGCCCCTTTCATCAGCTTAGGCTGATTTACCATATCTAGACAGAGAGAGCTTGGTCACAGTTGTCCCTGCTCTGGTAACCTCTCACCTGGATTACTGTAACAAACTCTACATGGGGCTGCCTTTGAAAACGGTCTAGAAAGTCCAACTGATTCAGAACAGGGCAGCACAGTTACCATTGAGGGATGGCTCACACAATCATATTATGCCAGTGATCTTTCAGGTGCATTGGCTGCCAGCTGAAGTCTGGGCCCAATTCAAAGTGCTGTTGTTAACATCTGAAGTCCTAAACAGTTTGGGACCAGACTATGTGAAGCAATGCTTTGCTCCATATCTTCCTAACTAGCCCCTAAGATCATCTGCTGAGATCTTTCTCAGGGACCCCCCCAAAAATAAAGAAGCTAAGGGGATGATGATTAGGAAAGGGCTTTTCAGTAATAGCACCCCGACTTCAGAACATGCTCCTCAAGGAGGTGCATCTGGCACCATCTTTGTTCTTTTTTCAGAGCCAGGTAGAAACCTTTTTATTTTCCAGACATTTTAATAGATAGCAGTTGTTTTGTGTTTTCACTGCTGCTATGCCATATATTAATTTTATTACAGTTGTGGGGTTGTCAATTTTTTGTTGTATTGGTTTGTTTATTGTCTACAGTTTATGACTATTTATTGTTTTTATATGTCTTTAAAAGTTTGAAAACCACCCATAGAGGCCAATGAGCTATGGGGCAGTATATGTGTCATGAAAGAATGAGTCGTCCTGCTCTGTGCCCACAAATGTCAAGCCTCTGTGTTACTTTCCCAGAGATCAGTCAATTCAGTCTGAAGGTCAAGGCCATATGGTTGGTGTGTCCAGAGTTTAAAACAGCCAGTGGTATCAAAAGAATGCCCAGGAAACAAACCAAAAGTCTAGGTATTTGATTAGTCTTAAACACTGCCAAAGACACCAATAACAATTCTTGTTGTTTGCTATGAAGAACAGACTCTGGCTGATCTAATTTATAGCCAACTGTAAATCAATGCTGCTGACTAATTAGACCAGCAAGTTGTTTTATGGGAAGATCTACACTTAGCCTGTTGCTTGAACTCATGCTGGATCTGTGAACTTCTCCTCCTTTATAGGGTGAATTGTTTCTGACTCCAGCTTCTGCTCTTAAAAAATGTTAGGGACTGCCCAAGAGGGTCCTGGCTGCTCCTTTACTAGAAGGCAGTTGGCTGTAGCCTCAACCCCTGCATCTGGCTGAGGCCAGGACCTGCTGTGCTGGCAATTCTTCATCTGAAGTACCTTCCTCCAGGTAGGGCATGACATTACTGCCCTCTCCATGATTGCCTCCCCCACAGCCTAAGGGTCCTGATGTCCCAGGGTATCACTGATGAAAGTGGTGGATTAGTTTCGCAGCCTGTACAACAGAGGCATCTTCCCAAGACTGCTCTTCTGGTCCATATCTCACCCAATCGCTATGGGATCATAGGTGGCCACAGTGTCATCAGGAGTCCAGTACTTCTGTGACTTCATATTCTTCCTCCCCATTTACTAATACTGGAGGAAGTGGAGCTGCAGGTTCATGGTCTGGGTGAGTAGGTCCTGCAGGATGACTGGATGAACTCAGAGGGAGGCAGGCAAATCTAAGCAGAAAGCTACTGGGTTGAACTGTGCTGGGTTGACAGGATAAGGCCCAAGGAATTGAGCACCCAGCTTGTAGCAGGGTTGTCTGATGGGCATGTGGAGAGCAGGACATGGTTACCCACCTTAAGGATGGGTCCAGCTTGCCTCTTACCATCTGAAAAATGTTTGTAAACCTGTTTACAAGCTCCAGTTGTTCTTTCAAGAGGGTCTGAGTAGCCTGAAATTCTTGTAATAGCTGATCAGCAGCCAGGGCAGAAGAGTGCTGGGCTATGGCAGGAAACAAACAAGAATGATAACCATAATTGGCAAAAAACGGGGTTTGCTGAGTGGAGGCATGGAGGAAACTAGTTTACACAAACACAGCAAGTGGTACCAGCAAGTGGTAGCAGTTCTACCCAATTGTCTTGCTGGCAACTTGCTTCTTTCTTAACCATTTAGAGACCTTGTTGGGCTATTCAGTGGCCTATCAATTTGAAAAACAAACAAACAAACAGATATGGCAACAGAGGTATGGTTAGAAAGTGACACTGGTGCCCACAGTGTGGCCATCTGACTGTGGGTGGTATGCTGAGGACAAATGGGGCTTCACCTCCAGCTGCTGCAGTAGGCTGTGCCAAAACTGAGCAGTAAATTGTGAGCCCTGACCAGACACTATCCCTTCTGGAAGACCATGGAGACAAATATGTTAGACAAACAGCTGCAGCGTGCTTTTTGCAGTGATGCCAGGACATGATACAAAGAGTGCTATCTTGGTGAATAGGTCTACCACCACCAAAATGGCAGTCTGTCCTTCTGCCAGAGGTAGGTCTGTAATAAAGTCCATATAGAACATTTTCCATGGTCCAGAGGGGGGAGGGTTTTTCCAGCAGGGGTGTTATTGGCACAGCAATAGATAGGGCAGGTCCTGACACAGTGCTCCATGTTTGCATGGACGTGGGATCACCAAAACTCATGGGTAAGCAGATGCTGGTCTGTAATCATGGCATAAGCAGCATATGTCCAGCTGACAGGTTCCTGAGGATACCTAATTATGAACTGTGATACAAAAGTCCATCTTGCAGAGTCCATCAGCACTTAGAAAACCAAGCAAAGTTTATTCAGAAGGAAAATACGCAGCAGGTACAAAACTCGTAACCTAATTTTGTCTAGGCAGCAAATATGCTTATTGCATCCCTAGTTCACTCTATATTTCCAAAGAGAAAATGAACCTAATAGGGTGTGCGCACGCGTGTGTGTGTATTATTGATTGATTGATTGATTGATTGATTGATTCAATTTGTATGTTGTCCCATTAGCCATTAGGCTCTCTAGGTGGCTCACAACATATACACAGCAATTAAAACAGCATGATGTGGGGGGGGGGGGGGGAGGAAAAACAGACAGACAGACAGACAGACAGACAGAGACCTAGTCTACTGCCTGTCTATCGTTTGTCCTGCGCAGTAGACTTTCAAAAGAAGTTGATTGGAGGTAGTCCCCATTCCAGGCTGGGCTCCCAGATCTACATTCAGAGCTTTCCCACTTCCATTTTTCCCTAGTTGCTTGATTGTTCTCAATTACCTCATCTATTACTGTCTGATATGTCTGTTTGAAATGGCTGTGTTTATTTTCTATAGGTAAAAATGTGTTTGTTGGCCTCAATTAATTGGGCAATTTCTAGGCATCTCACTGCAAACTCAGGACGCTGGTAGTCATCCTTGCAGGGCCATTTTCTCTTTAAGGGAAATGTCTTATGCCAGACGTTTTCCTCCACAAGAATCTCAGATATCATTCAGCATGCATTCTTATCTCATTCACACTGGCTAGCCCAGGTCGTTGGGTTACTCCTCCTAAACTCTACCTTACCCTACATGGCCCATGGTCTGCAAGCCTGTGTTTGTGGCACTGATATTAATTTTATGGATGCACTATGGCACTTGAGATCGTATCATAATGTATGTTAGCTGCTGAAGCACATCAAAGAATTTCAGAAGAACATTCTGTGTTTTATAGAGCACTGCAAAGCCCTTGACTATATGCATCACAAAAAGCTATGAATGGTACTGAAAGAAATGGATGTGTCTCAGCAGTTGATTGTACTGATGCATAACTTTCACCATGAGCAAGAAACTACTGTTTGGACAGAATACAAAAACATAGAATGGTTTCCTATAGGCCAAAGTGTCAGACAAGTGTGTATGCCTAGTAAGAAACAAACAGTATTCTCCAATTTTGGAATTATCACAGGGCACAGGCTTCATTAGGATCTCATTTTGTCAAAAACATCAAAAATACAGTATTTTCAGCATACCTTGGTATTACTTTATTATCCAATTATTGACCATTCATGGTGCATTCTTCTGCTCCTGCCCTCTATCTGGGTTTTGTGCATTTAAATACTTTTTTCTGATTGAAACTACCTTGAACATTTCATGAGCCATTTTGTATATGGGGCTTTACAGGCAAAACAGCAGCAGCAGCAGCAAGGCAAGTGTTATCTAGATGGGTCTTAGTATTACAGAATTCTTAGGCTGCTTCATACATAATGTCTTTAACATGTAGGGATAAAAATGACATAATCACAAGGAACAAATTTAATATGTGTTTGAAATATGTACACATAACAGAAAGCCAACACTGGCACATTCATGGGGTAAAGAACAGGCATGTCTTGCTTGTACCACATGAAGTGACTTCACCGTTTCAGCTCACCATTTTTTAATTTTCAGCTTTCAAGCACATTAATTCTATTTTTCATTAACTAAGGACTGAATGCAGGTAGTAAAAGCCAAATGTAGCCAAACATGACTCTGGGAAAGCCAATTTTAACAAACTCAGAGCAATGATAAATAAAGCCCCATGGCAAGCCACTCTAATGAGAAAAGGAGTCCAAGATGGGTAGGATTTTTTTAAGGAAATTCTAAAGGCACAACTGCAGGCAATTGCAGCAAAGAAAAGGGTAGAGGACAACAGAAGAAGCCTGTGTGGCTTCAAAAAAAGCATTGAGATGATCTGAAAACAAAAAAGGACATGTAAAGGGAGTGGAAGGAAGGCCAGGTTACAAAGGAAAAATACAAGAAGGTAGCACAGAATTGTAGGGATGTCATCAGGAAGTTAGGAATGAGGTGAGGCTAGTGAAGAATGCAAAAAGCCACACCAAAAAAAAACAAAAAAAACCCCCTTCTTCAGATATGTCCAGAGTAAAGGCAGAGGAAAGAAATGGGGGTTCAGATACTCATTGTGGACAGCAAAATGATAACAGATGACAAAGAAAAGGCAGAAGTGTGCAGTTCCTGCCTTTGCTCAATCTTCTCCCAAAAGAAGAGCTGTGCCCTTCCTGATCAAGGGGAAGTACACACTGAAGGAGCAGGATGGCAGTGCAAAATTGATAGGAAAATAGTTGAGGTTAATCTAATTGGGCTCAGTGGGTTCAAATCTCCAGGGCCTGATGTACAGTACCCTAGAGTCATAAAGAAGCTGGTTGGAAGAACTCTCAGAACCGTGTCTATTATTCTTTGAGAAAAGTCCAGTGAGGAGAGATTGAGAGAACTGGGCATGTTCAGCCTCAGGAAGAGAAGCCTGTAGGGAAATGTGATAGCACTATACAAGTATCTCAAAGGCTGTCACAAGGAGGAAGGACAGGATCTCTTTTCATTCATCCCAGCATGCATGACACAGAATAATGGGCTCAAGTTAGAGGAAGCCGGGTTCCATCTAAACACCAGAATAAAAATCCTGACTGTTATAGCAGTACAACAATGGAACCAATTACCTAGGAAGCCTTTGGGCTCTCTCACAGTAGAGGCATTCAATATGCAACTGGAAGCCATAATGAGAGGGATGGTTTAACTAGGAGTCCTGCACTGAGCAAGAGGTTGGACCCAATGGCCCTCTGGCCCCTTCCAACTCTACAATCCTATGACTCAACGAATCAGAAATAAAATGCAGGGACAAATCTCAACAGAGAGTTGGTTTAGACCCAGTATTGGAGACTAATTTATATGAAAAACACAGCTTTCAAAGAAGCAAGTCTTATATTTGCCGTTCCTCTCTTATGCTACTCAAGCAAATCAACTGCTTACATGAACAGTTATTATTTTATATATGGCAAATATAAAAATTATTGAATATATGACAAAATATTAATTCTAATTATATACCACGCCCATATACTACATAACAAAGTTTATCATCTGATGAGCAGACTAAAGAACTATCTCAAGACAATGCTATTTTCCAAAGCATATCACCACTCACATCAGGGAGATTGTTTATTTGGTTTCTTGACAAAATTAAGACCTTGAGCCTTGTCAGATATCGAATCTCTTCAGGAAGTGCAATGATTGAATTGTTGGACAAATGGAGTTCATGTAGTTTTTGGAGATAACACAGTTCTTTGGGAATACATTCTAGGCGATTATTGTCCACACTCAAACATTCAAGATTTCCAAGCCTATGAAAAGAACAAAATATTTCAAAATAATAGCCTCCAAGTCTGTTTGTTTTTCTATGTTCACCAAATACTTGGTAATGATTTTATATACTGCTTATATACAGGTCAATTTTAATTATACACATACAGTGTTGCAAGATGTCAACTGGAGCTACTAAAGCTTGGTACTTTCCAATATGTAGGGAAAACCTTGAAAGTGAATTCAAAATTAATTCAGGATATTGTTAATGGTCTACATTTTTGATAAGACATAGATAGCCATATAATGTAGAAGAACCACTGTCTGCAAAGTCTTGTTTATATCATGCAATGGGTGGGGTGGGTTAACTTCCTTTCAGGAACTGCGGACAGATAATGATCTTAAATCTATAGGTCAGAGTTCCCCAACCAGATTCTTTCCAGATGTTTTGGATATCATGACCAAGCAGATCATAGCAAATTTTTTATGATATGTGATCATTTTATCCAGATAAGAAGGAAGGAGCATCATAAAAATCCATCACAACACAAAATTCTCTGGGTTTATTGATGTTTGAAGACTAACAAAGGGTTGTAAAATACATGGTTAGTGTGAGGTCTTCTGCACATAACAATACAGGCAAGTGTTTTATCTCACAGCAAAAAATACTGATTATTGAGTATTACCAATAATACCAAGCAGTAAATATAGCTAGTTCAGGAGAAAATTTAGCCTTACAGTAATTAAAATTACCTGTGAATCTCTGGAGGAAGACAATTAAGCTGGTTATTGTTCAGATTGAGGAATACTAAATTCTGCAATCCATCTATTAGGAAAAACAATGTTAATATACTCTCTAGAGGCTTCATTATGCATTGTGTTATTCCTAATGTCCTACTGTGTACTATGTGCCAGGCCTGTATAAACATGTTTGTTATTATATTTTTATGTGACTCTACATTATATTTTTATGTGACCAAGCATATATTGTGACAAGTCTATTAGATGACTAGATTAACAGTTTCTAGTGGAGATGAGTGTTCTTAAAAGGTGATCAAGAAAGTATTCTTGAAAAAATGAGATGACTACCAAATTAGATGTAGCCTAATTGGATGGAGACCCCAAATTAGAGTTACAAATAGGATGGACCACATTAACAGCTGAGTCCTATGCATGGTTACTTGAACCATGCATGGTTACTTGAACAACAAAGGAACACTCTATCCACAGGCAAGTGTGGATAGAATAGCACCCTATATGGCTGCTGCAGCTGGAAAAATGAAAAGGAGGATCTGGTTTGGCTATAGTCATAGACAGCCTAAAAATTATGGAAGCCCAAGCAGTGATACACATATTGACTGTAAGCCTAATAAATTCTTGGAAATGAAACTAGTTTGAGTTGCAATATTCAGCCAATTAATTGAATTATCCATTCATCACATTTCCATACTATCCAATGGCCAAAACTCTCTGTGAGGTTTAAAAAGATAAACTGATTGGAAAACTTCTGAAAGGCTTGCAGCACAATCCTATTATGCTTCCACCCCAGAAGCATTCAAGCCTCTGAACTCCAGTGGCTGGAGTGAAGTACACCAGTGACAAGCTCCACTGCCACCATGCAGTGCCCCATGCATTTTTTTCTTGATAATCAGTTTGGTAATCTAGATAAAGTACCAGAGAGGGGGAAGGAAGGAGGCTGGGACACTGATAGGCTGCCCACTGATCAATGCAGATGACCCCAACCTATTCCTCTCCCCACCCCTGACAAGTATATATGAGGCTTTGAAACTCATATAATAAACTGATTTCCAACATGTATTATAAATACTAATTTATATTACTGTAATCAGTGTTTGATACTCAGCAACATATGCGATGATCTTACCAAATACTAAAGGTGAAATTCTGGTGATCTTGTTTGCAAATAAATGAAGCTTCTGTAAAGATTCGAGGTATTGCAATTGCTCTGGAACTTCCTCAAAATTATTGTTTCCCAAATTCAGTACCTTCAACTACAATCAGATATTTGATTAAATAGATTTCTGTCATATCTGCTCTAACCTTGAAAAATAAAGCATCCATTTACCATGACCAGTATCCATACATATTTTGATCTGGAAGTGGAGGGGCTGACATCAACCCCTTTGTCATGATCAGATCAGAACACTTCCTTTTGAGGTTAGGCTCTTGGCCCCCTTTCCCCTCTCATGGATGGGAAATCTATTAAAATGATCCACCCCCAGAGACTGATGGATCTGTATGGCTTCCAGAGGGCTCTGGGGGTGTTTTAGGCTGATATGGCTGGCACTCCCGTTGAAGTCACTTTGTGGAATACAGAGAAGACCAGGCAGTTGACACAATCACACTCAAGTGCTCTCTTTCCCTGCATGGAGCCCATGCAGATACGCATTGGAGCTGAGGTCAATGAAACAGACAGCTTCAGCTCAAATGGAGAAAAACTCATGATGAATCTGACCAAACATGTCTTAGAACTCATTATTAAACTTATGCCGTGGCAATGAAGGAGGCAAAGAGATCTTATTTTTCCACCTCCACTGCATCCTCTCAGTGCCATTCAGTGTTGCTGTTCCAAAGTAGTCCAGGGAATTTTACAAACTAGTCCAGTGAAAGAAACACTGGAACCCTTGGTGGTTTGCTGCAGGGAATTTGCACAGCACTTTGAGGGTAAAATTGCTTGGATCTATCAGGAGTTGAACTCCTTGGTTGATGCAGCTAAGGTGTCCAATGCACTGCCTAGTATGAGTTTATTGGATGAGCTTCAGTTGTTGAGGCATAAGGATGTGGCCAAGGTGCTTGGATTGGTTCAGCCTACTACCTGTATGCTTAACCCTTGCCCATTTTGGCTGGTCTGCTCATTCAAGGTAAGGAGGGGGTGCATCCTTGGGTCCTGGAGGCTGTGAATGCCTTGCTAAAAGAGGGAGTGGCCCCAGTCTCATTAAAAGAGGCTGTAATTATACCACTCCTGAAGAAGGCCAACTTGAACCTGGGGGACATGAACAACTATAGACCAGTTGTTAATATCCCCTTCCTGGCCAAAGTGCCCAAGCAGCTGGTGGCTGGCCAACTCTAGGCTCTCTTGGATGAAAGGGACCATCTTGATCCATTTCAATTGGGATTCAGACCTGGATTCAGAATGGAAACTGCCTTGGTTGCCGTTTGGGATGACCTATGCTGGGAGAGGGACAGGGGGAATGCAATCATGTTAGTTTTCCTAGACCAATCAGAGGCTTTCAATATCATTGACCATGGTATCCTTCTGGACAGTTTGGTCAAGCTGGGAATGAGAGGCACTGCATTGCCAACAGTGTCCAGAAGATGGTGCTGGGGGATTATTGTTCTGTGCCATTTATGCCATGGAGTTTTGCAGGGCTCAGTCTTAATTCCCATGCTCTTTAACATCTACATGAAACAGTTTGGAGGTCTTTGGGGGGTGTGGGCTGTGTTGTCATCAGTAAACTTCCTTTTCATCTAATGCAGATGTTGCAGTGGCTGTTCTAAATCAGGGTCTGGCCTTGAATAATGGATTGAATGAGGTCTAATAAACTGAAAGTTAATCCAAAGAAGACAGAGATACAGTTGGTGGGAGGATTGTCTGTTCAGATGGGGGACATCTTGCCTGTACTGGATGGGGCCACACTCTCCTAAAAGGACAGGGTTTACAACTTGGGGGTGCTCCTGGACCCTGAATTGTCCCTGGAATTCCAGGTGAATTTGGCTGCCAGGACCACCTTCTATCAGCTGAGGCTAATATATCAACTGCAGCCATATGTGGACAGACAGGACCTGGCAACATTCATCCATGCACTGGTAACATTGTGTCTAGATTATTGCAATGCACTTTATATGGGGATTTTCTTGAAAACAGTCCAGAAACTTCAAGTGGTCCAAAATCAGGCAGCTAGACTGTTAATGAGAAAAGGCAGATATGATCATATAAAGCCAGTCCTCTACCATCTCCATTGGCTACCAGTTGAAGTCCAGGCCCAATTCAAGGTGGTAACATTAGTGTTTAAAGTCCTAAACGGCTTGGGGCCAGGGTATATAAAAGAGGACCTCTTGCCATATGAACCTACCCAGCCCTTAGATCTGCATCTGAAGCCTTTCTAAGGGAGCCCCCTCCTCAAGAAATAAGGAGGGTGGTGACAAGAAAAGGAGTGGCACTCCTTTTTGGAAGTGGCACCCCAACTCTGGAATGAGCTCCCCAGAGAGGTTTGCCTGACACCTGGTGGTATTTAGGTATAATCTAGGAATGGACAAATATATGGATATTTGGTCTGCCCTTGCTGAAGTTTATGCATGTCTAAGAATAGCATATTTTGCCATATATAAGATATAGATGTACATATTGCTATGAATCTATTGTAATGGATATAGTCAAATCTACTGTTAGAAAACTGTAAACTTATTTTATGCTGATTTTTATGTTGTGATTTATTTAAATTCAAAATAAATAACCCTGTCCAATTAATGAAAGGAGTACAGAGTGTGGTTTTACTGAGATTTCTGTTTCTTAAAATGTTTATTACTGTATTTTAAATCTTTACAGTGCTCCTAGATTTTATTGTTATTATTTTGTACTGTAGTTTTAAAATTTTAAATGTATTACTATTTATCCATTAAATTTATAGCCTGCCTTTTTTTCTTGCAAAGAACTCAAAGTGGCTTACATAATACTGTTCCTCCTGCTCTCAATCTTATCCCCACAATAACAACCCTGCGAAGTTGGTTGAGCTGAGAGTCTGTGACTGGCCCAAAGTCACCCAGTTGGCTGAGCAGGGACTACGAGGGTAGACCCCAAGATCACCTGAGTCTCAGTCCCATGCTCTTAGCAACTATACTATTGTATTTTATCATGCTGTATTTTACAGCTGCAACTGTGGTGAACCACTTAGAGTACTTCAGGTATGCAGAGGTATGGAAATCTAATAAAATCAAACAAAAAATAAAATCTGTAGGTATTTTATCTACAAGCACTTTTCTGCAAGTCCCTTGCCAGTGAGAATTTATGGTTTCAGTTACATAGGCTGTGGAGAACTGGTTGGACTCAATTGTGTTATTGGCCCTTTCCAAGTAGCTTGGATCCAAGTAAATACTTAGGTGTGAGCAACAGCTTGCATGCGCTCAGCAGGTTATTTTAAACAGTAGACCTTAAATCCTATCAGAAATTGCTTTTTAAACTCCCCTCATGTTAGAATGGCAAAACAAGTATCTTCTTCATTTCCAAAACATAAATTATGAGGGGAAAAGCAATGAAAACCACATGCTTCTACGTATAAAACAACTAGGTACCAAGGAAGAAAGCATGATAGGACTGTATCCATTCCAGGAAAAGAGGCTGGCCAAGTGCTACTCAATTATGTGTAGTGGTATAGCCAGCATTTCCAACAAAACTGTTTCCAACATGAAGCATATTTTACAATTGTAGAAAAATTTTTGACACAGTCATCGGCTTTCCAAAGTATTTTTAAGTAATTTGAGTTGTACTAGAACATTTTTAAGATGTTTTCAAAAGTACATATTAGGTTGAATTACAGTACTGCCAAGTTTCAGTCTGTCATTAAAAAGTTCCATAACTTCTTTTATGACCCATTTTTTAAAAAGACTTAGACTGAATGGTGAACTATTCCCTTCACCTCAATCCAGCTGTTCATAATCTCTGCTTTCTATTGGATCCACTATACAGCTAGAAATTATACTAATTTAAGGATAAACATCCCATAAAATAAGTCAAACTAAATTTATGTGCTGCAGAATCAAATGGATTTAAATGGAAAAGTTAAGCACACACTTTAATCATGCTTCCTGAAATGTAATTCAAAAGTAATAATATCTGGGTGGCTTGTTTGCTCTGATTACAAAAAGGCAAAATGATAGTATTTTACAGTTCAAAATTTCACAGAAGAATCAAGTTTTATCACAAATTAAATTGTGATGCTGCAATTGTTAAAAGAATGTTGCATTGCGTTTCTCAAATTTTCTAAAGATTCAGTTCAAAAGGAAACAAGGAAAAAATACAGAAAAAGCGAAACAAGTGCCCCTTATTTTAAAAGCCTCTATTCCAAATCAATATAAAGCATGTTTAGGCAAAGAAGAATTCTACAACTCCCAGCATGACCAAACTAGCATGTCTACATAAGCATTGTGCCTTAAATGTGTGCCTAGAACCCCCTATGTATGCTGTAATAAATCTTATTGGTAAATATATTGAGCTATTCTCCTTTCAGGCTTTTCAGCGATTATAAAAAGCCCATCCCAGGAAAAAAGTATTGTAATAGTTCAATTTGCTGTATCAGTGTGCCTTCGTCCATTCTTTCAATGGCATGTAAAATGGGGATGCCAAGCCACTTGAACGAGGAAAGAATGGATGCTGATCGTTCTGGATTATACGGTACGGACTTTTGTGAGTCCAAACTAGCACTGCCAGGCAAGCGAAGCTTTCACTATGGCATTATTTCCATGCTGGGCTGAAAAATGCCATGTGAAGCTTTTAGGAAAAGACACGACGGCAGGGCTGAGGGGGGGGGTGCATGGTGGATGGTGACGACCTCCCTAGTCGCGACAGAGAGACGAACTGAAGGGGGGGGCGGGGGTAAACCAACAGGAGGGGCTCCTGTCGAGGAGGGCTACCTCACCCGGCTCAGAGCCTCTATTTCCTGGGGCAGGCAGTGAAGTTTATTGTTCCGCAGGCTTAGTTCTTCCAGGTTCTTCATCTTCCCCAAGTCCCGGGGCAGTCGATGCAGCCCCTTCGCTGTCAGTGAGAGAGAGCGCGTCCCGGGTCCTCCCCGCAAAGCCCGGAGCAGCTGCCATTCTGCCATCTTGGCTCTCTCCGCTGCCGGGAGCGCTGTCCAGCCATGGCGCCATAGAAACAGCGTAGGTAAACAAGAGCTACCTCCTTACCTTCGCGGTCGTCATGGAAACAAGAAAGCGACGCGACTTTCTCGTGCGGGAGGAAGCGCGCTACGGAAGCCGAGAGGAGCGCAGGGGGCGAAGCACCACGCGGAAGGGGAAAGGCGGGTCGCCGCGATGTGAATGAGGGGAACGTGGGAGGACAGCAAGCGTGGATACAGCTCTTGCACAACCCTAAAGGTCTCGTACGATCTAATGGCGATGGACAGAAGATCAGATTGTGTTAAATAAAATGTCCACGTGGAAACACTGCTAGGAGCTCTAAAGATCAGTTTCGAGGGGTTATCTGACCTGGCACCAGGTTCACAGGTCATTCTTTTCCAGGACGCTTTTGGCACAGATCGCTTACATAAAGCACCAACCATAGTACTGAATCCCAAAGATCAACTCAAACTTGTTCTAATACGAATGAAGGTTTATTTTGAAGGGGGATTGTATATCTTAGTAGCAGAGTAAATCTCTTGGATGCAGAAGGTCTCAAGTCCAATCCCTGCCATCTCGATAGAGCCAGGCAAGTCTCCTGTCAGATATCCTGGAGAGCTACTGCCAACCAGTGGGGTGTCTCATAATCTACCCCAGTTGACCATGGCTTGTTCCAGGGATTAACTAACCCCCTCCCCCCTTAACATGTTGTCCAAACTTAGGTTTGGCCAGAGGCTCCAGCTGATATCAGCTGGCAAAGTGTGGCTGTCATCAACTTCCCCCAGGTTCCAGATGATGTGAAAGAGCAGGATCCCTCATGAGCAATCCTGCATTGGCAAGTGTCCAGGGGAATCAACTTGATTCCATTCTATGTTGCAAATGGAGCCTGGGGAGACAGTGTTCAGAAAAAGCAAGGTGAAGTGGCTGGATCCCACCTGCTGTCATTGCAACAGTGGGGATGAGCAGGAATGAACCATTCTATTCTCCTTACTCAAGACAAACACAACACCTAAGCACCCTGAACCCCATTCCCCCTTCTCCCCAGCAAGTATAGGAGGAAATGGGGTGATAGGCAGACCAAGTGCCTATCACACACCATCTTTTCAAGTCCCCAGTCAAGACTGGGAAAGGGGTGGACAGCAGACACCAGGTTACACCCCACCTCACATCTCAGAGATGTTGGACAGCAAACCAGAATGGTGTGGTCAGCCAGGCCTCCTCCCAGGCACACCATAGCTGACAAGTGGAAAGGGGCACAGGATGGCGTCCATGCTTCTCAGCTGCAGCAGACCGCAGCTTAGCAGTGAGTCAACTTGTTCTGGACTTCCAAGCCCAGCACAAGACCACCCAGCCCTTCCTTTCTCTGTTCTGTCAGGAGCACTGGGTGAGGAAGTGAATGGCAGCAGCTGAAACTGCCCATTTTTGCCTGCTGGCATCTTGCTTTCTCACCCTTATTCATGTGGGGAGCTCCAAGATGCTAAAGGAGGTGGAAGCAGGGGACACAGCCCATGCCTACGCATCTGTCAGCTTGAGGGAAAGTAATTTCAGTTGCAAACCCACCCATACTGATAACAATAAAGTAGGATGCACAATAAAGTAGACTTGATATAAGACCATTCACAATACCCCTATGCTTATGGACATGTTTCTGGGCCTCTCAATCAGGCATTTTTCAACCAGTATTCAGGCCCATTGCCACCTTCCTGTCGAAGCTCAAGTGTTGTGCATACATGTTCTAGCAAACTTCAGGAGCAAACATAAGAGGCTGACCATTTTGACTGGACTGACAGTTCATATTCTGAGAATGAGATGTGCGCAGAGGAGTTGCTCTAACCCAGCAGGTCTGACAGTTCAGACTCCGATAATGAGATTTGTTGAAACAGACCCAGTTCCAGCTCCAGTCCAAGGCCCTGTGCCTGCTATAGGAGAGATTACTTCACGGGGCCCAGGCAACCCTCCCATGGGAACAAAAAAGAGCAGCAACCTCCTGAGGGGGGAGATTTAGAGATGGGGAGGCTATTGAATGGGGAACTCCAGCCTCTTGAGGAGGTGGACCCAATAGTCCGTCGTCACACTTGTAGGGTTGGCCCATTCAGGATCTCAGTGGGAGGAGTGAAGGCATGCCCAGTTCCACAGCACTCCTACCTACAGGGTCAGGATTCATATGCAAGGCTTTGGGTGAAGAAGGCCAGAGGGTTCACCATTTTGCTTTGTATATGCTCGAAATAATTATGTTTGGCAAGAAGTGCTGATGAGACTGCTACTGCTGGGAGAATTCAGCTCACCACATTCACGTTGCTCTGTAGACTATGGAGATGATCAGAGCAGCTGACACAGTAACACCCAGTAGCTGAGCAGCAACAGCTAGAGGAAAATGCATGATGCATCTGAATGGACATGGCTTAGAGCTCATTACTGAGCCTAATCCATGGCAGTGTGGGTGGCAAGGAGGCTATTCTTTTCCACCAGCAGTGCAGCCCCTTAGTGCCATCCAGCAGAGCTTTTCTGAGTGGTTCACAGCCTTTTACAAATTGGATCAGAGAAAGACACTGCGGAACCTTCACTAGCTCACTATGATTCATTTGCACAGCATGTTGAAGACAAAGTTGCTGATTTGTCATGAATGGGGCTCCACATTTAATGCAGTTCCATTAACAGAAGCATCCAGAGCAGCATCTGGTCCAATTTTGTTAGATGAGTTAGTTATTGAGGCCTCAGGAGGTAGACAAGGTGTTTTATTAAGTTCAGCCCACTGCCTGTGTGAGTGTCCTTGTCCATTATAGCTTATCAAAGTAAGAAAGGGTCCAGGAGGCTGTAAAAGCTCTTGAAAAGAGGATGTAGGCCCAGCCTCTTTAAAATACTTTTGGAAAAAAAAGGTCTAACCTGGATCCAGAAGACATTAACAACTATACGCCAGTGGCCAATATCCCCTTCCTGGGCAAGTGGTAGCTGAACAGCTCCAGGCACTCTTGTATGAAACAGATCATCCTGATCCACTTCAATAGAGCTTCAGGACCGGTTTTGGATGGAACACTGCCTTGGTCACCCTGGACCTCTCAGCAGCTTTTGATACCAATGATCATGGTATCCTTCTGGATAGGCTAGGTGGGTTGGAAGTTGGAGAAACTGCACTGCAGTGATTCTGCTCCTAGACTGGCCAATTCCAGAAGATAGTGCTGAGGGATTATTGCTCTGTGTCAGAGCATTTACGCCATCTGCATGATACTGCTGGGGGAGGTTATTGAGAGGTGTGGGCTGAGATGTCATCAGTATGCTGACAACTCAGCTCTACCTCTTTCATCTTACTCAGGTGGGGCTATGGTCACTTTGAATCAATGCCTTGGCTTGATAATGGATTGGATGAGGGCCAATAAACTAAAACTTAATCCAGGTAAGATGAAGGTGCTGTTGGTGAAGGGACTTTCTGTCCAGGTGGGTGCTATTACACTTCTCTTAGATGGGGTTGTACCCCCACCCCCATGGACAAGCTTCCTAGTTTGGGAGTGCTCTTGGATCCTGAATTGTCACTGGGATCTCAGGAGGACTCAGTGGCCTGGAGTACTTTCTATCAGCTTCAGCTGATTCATCAACTACAACCCTATCTGGCCAGACAGAACCAAGCAACAGTAATCCATCCTGTGGTAACCCCTCATTTGGATTATTGTAATACTGTCTACGTGGGACCGCATTTGAAAATGGTCTGGAAACTCCGATTGGTCTGGAAAAGGACAGCAAGGCAGCCGACAAGGACTGGCTGACATGAACACATTACGCCAGCCCTCTACAAACTCCGTTGGTTACCAGTTGAAATCCAGACCCAATTCAGTTCAGTTGAAATCCAGACCCAATTTGAGGTATTAACATTAATATTTAAAGGCCTGAATGGCTTGGGACAAGTTATCTAAAGTAGTACCTCTTCCCATATGTATCTACCCAAACTCTAAGATCATCATCTAAGTCCTTCTCGGAGAGCCCTCTGTGAAGGAAATTATGAGGGTGGCTACAAGAAGGGCCTTCTCAGTGGTGGCCCCCGACTTTGGAATAAGCTCCCCAAAGAGGTGTGCCTGGTGCCTTCTGTCTACTCTTTTTAGCACCAGGCAAAAACCTTTTATATGCCCAATATTTTAATAGTTAAAATATTTAAAAATTTATAAAATATTATTTTATCTATGTGTTTTATTGTATTTTATTGCTACTATACCCCTGGATTAACTTAAGCTGTGGCTGCTGTGGGTTTTGTTTTGTTTTTTTGTTTTGCTGTGTCCTATTGTTAGTTTATTGATGTATTATGTATGTTTGATTTAATATTATTGTTTTTATTGTATATGTTGTTTCTTATGACTTTGGCTAATGAGCAGCACAGAAATTAAATAAATAAATCTGTAATATACCATTTATTATTAGTTGCATTACAAACACTTTGGGAAGGTTTTTTTAAAAACATGATTAAATTAGAATCTATAGTACTTACAGATTTTCAATATATAGTACTTTTCCATATCCTTTATGTGTTGCAAAACTATTGAGCAGAATTAGTTTGCTTTAAGACATATCCAAGGACATCTAGCATTAAGTGTAAAGATGCACCCATCAATCTTGTCTGATGAATCATATGCACTAGCTTGTATTTTCTGTAATTGTGTCCGAAAGAGGTTTTATGGAATTATAATGTTCTCCTAATCCATATGCATGTCTCATATACCTAGAAGCAGAAACAAGTATTACAGAAATTAAGTAGATTCCTTCCAAACTAAAACAGAACATAGGCACAAAGACAAACAACAGGAGGGTTCACTTGTCATGGCAACCCTTGATTTTTCAAAACCCTGAGTTACCATGAGCAAGCCAGCAAACTGGTATGCGTAGCTCAATTGTTCACCTCGACTCCTCCAGCAGCAGCTAAACAAATCATGGAATCTCTGGCTTAAAGTGATGAAACCAGGAACTCTTGGCTTGTCTCTTCTGTCATAACTCAAGAACTAATCCTGGATTACAGTAACCCAAGGTTTCAAAAAAGCAAAGCTGGATGATGAAGCTAGTGTTTACTGGAAAACATGATTTTAAGTTAATTCTCAACTTATCACAGTTATTTTATGAATGAGAACATTCATGAAAAGTCCAATGATATCAGCTGGGGTAATAAAAAACCTCATCTTCTTTTAGCAAGGACACACAAGTTAGCTACACTGGAAATCCTCTCCCTTACTCACTCGTTACCCTGACAATGATTATTCCCTTTGCTAGATGGGCAAAAAAGCTCTTCTGGTGAAAATGAAGGTGTGGGGATGTAGAGGCGAAGTTTATTTCTGCTGCTGTACAGAATGAACACAAACCTCCAAGTTTAGAGGCTTATGATCATGGCAAAAGCACCATGCCTTAAGACTGCATTTCTTACCACATTTACATCTCTACACAACTATAAGATCAACATGTGAACAAAGTCCTTCAAGGCACTTTCACCCAGGCCCCATTACTTCCAAAAGCATTTTCACCTTTTTCCACTAACCTTTATTATATAGGGAAAAGTTGAAAATGATTCAGTGGGCAGAACTTGGTGTTGGTACTCACACTTTAAAGAAAACTCAAATGTTATACTTGAATCCATTTTAAAAGACTTTCCAATTCAAGTCAGTGACATTCAGAAACCAATTAAGTCCCCAGGGAAAACAATAATTGGTTTTGCTGCCAAGCTTTGCTCTAATTTCATGAAAGTGCTTTTACACTCTGAAGTGGCAAAGGGTACTGAATCTAGTACTGCCACTGTGATTCAGCTCATCTTCTCAAACCTGTGGGATTGCCCTTCAGTGCCACAGGTCTCTAACATAACCCAGAATGTCTAAGTCTGGAACAGGGCACATCAGCAAAACTCCTTTCTGCAGTAATTTCCAAGTATCAGTCACATAACATTCTTCAAACACAAAACTCCTAAGAACGTAACGTATCTACTTACACAAGGATTAGTGGCTTTCTACTGTATTCTTCGCCAACAATAATAGGAGGTGAATCCATTTGAATTACTTCAATTGGTGTTTTCAAGATGTGTGACAGAGCCCTTAACTGTAAGGCAAAATCCATTTTTCTGTTAATAAGGTTTCCTTTTCACATGGCCACAAACAAATGCCCTTTTCCTCAATGTGCTGAACAGAGATCTGGAATGAAATTCTACAATTCTGTCATCTGTTTATTAGTTTCTGATGCTTATTAGTAGGAAATGTTTCTACTAATATTTGGATCAAACCTCCTCGTTCAGAAGGAGGCTTGATCCAAAAGAAAGAAGCTGCTGCCAGCAGAGCAGGAGGAGCAATTTTTTCATCAGTCCTTTTTGTTTCTGCTAGATGGATTTCTGAGCTCATCTAGAAGAGCTGGGGTTCTACCCATTCTTGGGGTTGTGAGAACTACAGAGGCAAAAAGATACAGTGGAGCCCAGCCTCTCTTTATTCTCTTGACTGATCACCACAATCACCCCCCCCCACACACCTTTCTGCTCCCTGAAGTCAGGTTTATGGAAGACCTCCATAACCAGTCTATGCAATTCTTCCCCAGCTCTGAGAGAGTAGGGTGAAGCTGACTGGAAACCAGCATCTACAGTGGGGTCAGGGGAAGGCAACTTCCATAAGCATGGGGCTTATTTTTGCTCTCCTCAACCCTGGTGCAGCAGTGTAACCTGGGGGGGGGGGGCGCTACAAGGCAGCTGGAAAAGCCATTTGCCCATTTTCTGCCAAAATTCAGTGACAAATTGCTGCACCTGTTGAGTGGTAGTATTAATACAGCTTGTTTCCCAACTACACTAACTCTTTTTGTGTTCCAATAGGGCTGTAAAGGGGCAAGGGGGCTCAAAAAAGCAGAGTCCCATTCATTATTTATCTCTGCATCCAAACTTTGCTCTCCAAAGTATCTCAAAAGCCAACATCTTAAGGGTATCAACATTCATAGACTCTAGACCATTCATATCAGATTCAAATGCGTTTGGGTTTCTGTGAATACAGTCAGTAGATTCTACTGTAGACCAGTTTTTTTCTGAGCCCAGCTGATTCCACGGACTTGTGGGTTAATTTTTCAGCTTTGGAGGGTGGGATTAGTACTTAATTGCATTAGCAGTAGAAGAATGATTTTTAAAAATCCAACTCTGTCAATTATCAGACAAAGGGATGAAATACACTTGACAATCTGCAACACTGAGATAGAACAGATGAAGTAAGATCTAAACATCTCTAGATTTCCTAAGAAAATTCAAGCATTAGCATTTAAGAGATTAGGAAAGTATGGGAAGTTGTACTTACTTCTAACTGACCACCCCAAGCAGCTGTGTTTGCTATATCATAACAGTATTTTTCAAATTCCTCTGAGGAGGAGGAAAAGGACATTCAATTAATTTTTTAATATTTCAGTGTTGGCAGATAAAGTTTTAAAAGATGTGTTACAACAGATATGTTATTCATAGGATTTTTCTAATAAAGCAGGCGGCAACGGAAACAAAGGAAGATGTAACACTGTCAGTCACTGAAAACTAAAACAGAAGAATGAAAGAATGTTTGCTAGTAGATGGCATGTTTCACATGATTATGGTGGAGAAACAGACCATGGTGGCTTATTTGCTACTAACCCCACATGTTGCCTGGATAAAAACACCATGAGCATTTGCCGTGGGTAACAATCCGGATGGCAAAAAGATATCCTGACCAGGTTCACACAACATAATAATCTTCACTGCTGAGGATATTTGCACAAATCTGCCTAGCACACAACAGGCGAGGGACAGGGGAACAAGCCGCTGTGGTTTTTTCACCTCCCATAATAGGGCAAACCCAGTCAGAATAAAGGCAGGAAATGCAAGAAAATGATCAATTTGATAATCAAGTGTTTATTCTTCCAGATTGCATAGTTGCTCCATTTTGGGATATTTCCTTGGTTTACACAGAAACATGTCAAAGAACACAATACTGCAGTCAAATTTGTTAAGCTATCCTTAAGTCTTAGGCCCTCAGTTATAAAGTACTGTTAAGTAAATATTTTTATATCTTACTAAAATTGGTCGTTCACATTATCCTGGGTAAGAGTTATTGGAAACATACTTTGCTAGAAAGAACATTTGATAAACACAAAGGAGCTTACTAGCATGCATGGGATTGGATGAATAATGTGCACAGCAACTAGTTGAGATCATTAAGGTTTGCAACGTATGTCCCTATTATATAACCGAAAAAAACATTAAAAGACTTCATAGTGATATTCTTACTAGAGCAGCTATTATAATAGAAATGTGTTAGTGATGATGCATGTAGCTTACCTACCTTGGCTGTACAAGTCTCCTGTATTTGGATTTGTCAGAAATGGGAGGAAGTCATCCCTATGACTTCTCATGTACTCTGCAGTCTGACTTCTAAGAGTTCCAACAGTCCAGGAGTTCTGTTGCTCCTTGAGTTGATCTTCAATAGCTCTGTACATGCAGTGACCATCAGATGGGATCTGCTTAATTTCCAATTGCCTTGCTGCTAAAATGTGTGCAAGTTTCTGGCTTTCAAGGTGCCTAGCACCTGTTAAATTTTCTATCTCTGCTTCTGCTATTCTTTCTTCTCTTTCCCTCTCCAAGGCTGCTTTTTTATCCTGTTTGGGAAAAGCACATATTGAACTTCACATCTGACTACATGATGAATATAGTACTTCTTCCAAAAGTGTTTCAAGTGTTTCTCACACACTAATATGTTCTGTTCTGTTATTATTCAATGGTACTTGCATGTAAAGGACACGGTAAAATTTTCATGAAGTTCACTCACCATATATCATGTCATTTATGAAGAAACTAAAACATCTGGTTGAATCCAAAGTAGGGTTTCCCAGAGTTCTATTTGTACTGGAGGAAGAAGGTATGTATTTGTATTCCTGTGTCCCCAGTCCTCCTGAACAGTCGCTTTGAAAGGCTACAGGACCCAGAGATGCCTACAGAAAATTTGAAGATTGCTTCCCCTTCTTCCTCCAGCATAAAGTCACTGCTGGATCCTAGGGCCTTCTGTGAGTAAAAGGAACACTTATATTCACTGAATGGCCAATCTGTATCCAATCCATGGTACCCAGTAGTTATAGATATTCCATAAATGCACAAATGCAAGATAAATTTCACACTGGGCGCGCACGCGCGCGCGCGCGCGCGCGCGCGCTCTCTCTCTCTCTCTCTCTCTCTCTCTCTCACACACACACACACACACACACACACACACACGAACTCCTCCCTTTCTCTGGAAAGCTACATTCAGCGTAATAACACAAACAGAGCCAACCACAGTTCCCACATGGTATCACATCTCAGTGCCATCCTTCAGGCACTAGTTCTGGCACCAAAGCAGACATCTTGCATTTGGTCTTTCTTGTCACTCATAAAACAGTTAAACTAAGGAAATGTCTGCATCTGAAGGAATCTTACCCGTCTCTTCTGTGCTTTAGATATTCTAGGAGGCTGAATTTGTTCTGTACTTTCAAGCACCAATCTTGCAATATTTAGGGTTGCTGAACAGTCCTAAATAAAAATAACAGTTAACTAAAATATGAAACTAATAGCTTCTTGATCTTGTCATGTCCCCATTTCTAGCTAAGTTGCACTGCAGATATCTGAAATTTCATAATGGTCACAAACTTGATATTTCATACTATTCTTCCTGCAGTCTATCACCACCCCACTCTGTATGTGTGTATACATTCTTACTTTTATGTAATTCCATTTCATTTCTATTTCACTTTTAAGCTTTAGAGATCTCTTAAATTTTCAAAAGGAAACTGAGTAAGGCAACTATCATGCCACTCTAGAGGTATCATTTAACCTTGACTGTAAAACCATATGTGTCTGCCACCTTGGCCTAAGGATTATATGGGGAAAGTTGTTGGCAATGGGTTCACATGCAATATTCAAACACTTTTTTTTTTGGCCAATATACTAGTTCCAAAGACAGGATTCATGAACAACCAGCAGATACGGTATACAGCCTAAAATATCCAGACAAAGACCATTTTAAATAACCTTGTCTTGCCAGCCACCTAAAATAACAATGATGCAGCCTGATATGCCTAAGTTGGCAGAGCCATTCACAGAAAAAGTCTTACACCTGGTCATCTGTGGATGACATTTCACAGAGTCAAGGGATCTGAAACAGCTTCAAATAATGATTAGAATGTTCAGGGAAGACCATATGGAAGGAGGTAGGCTTTATCTATCTCCAAGCTATTTTGAATGTTAAGGGTTAACACCAGCAGCATAAATTAATCCCAAAAATAAACTGACAACCAACACACATCAAATAAAAACAAATATGATATAGTCAAAACCCTTGGCTTCAGTCACAAGATTATAACATTCAGTGTAATATCTGAACACTTTTCAAGGATAAACCAACATAAGAGGGTGTTACAACAGTATTTAGAAACATAGAAATAGAGCAGGTCAGAAGGGGCCTCCTGGGCCAACTAATCTGACCTCCAGCACCAGCCGCCTCCGCTCACATTGACAGACGGTCAATGTGATGGTATTTGATGGTACCTAGGATGTGACTATGATAAGATCTGACTTTATTAGAACAAACCAGTCAAAGCTAGAAAAAGGAGTCCCTCTCTACCCATGTCACCTGCACCTCTACTAGCAATGCAGGATGAAGAAGAATGCCAGAACTATGGAGTTGATATACTGTGGACTATCCAATATCCAAACCCTATCCAATATATGCTGCACAACCAAACCTGAACCAGATGATCTACCAACTAAGAGTTCACTTTTACTTGGATTTTCACCTTGTTATGCCCCATCCAGTCCTCCACAGCCACTAAAGAGCAATCCAGCTTTTTCACAGCCTCTCTAGGATCCTATGGAAACAATTGCTGTTCTTCATTTGAATACTGATAACTCCACATCTTAAATCTTCAAAAGACTTCATCCAATAGTTTAATGTAGATACAAAACAGCAAGGTAGAGAAGATGGACCAATAGTCCCTCAGTACTACCTTCTGAATCCTACCTCCCAGGACCAATGGACAGAGGCTTCCAATGAGAAAAACCCTAACTTCCTCCAGAAATGCAACCAGGAAATAAAGTACATTTCATAGAATTATCCTGCTCATCTCTATTTTACACAGTATGCCAGCCAAGAACTCTGTGTGTGCGCAAGCTCGCATGTGTGTGCACATGTGCTCCACTTATTCATGGTACATATAAGGAAAATATTTATTGCAACTAAAAACATAGCAATGGCTTCAAGGATTGAAACCCAGTTTCTTAGCAAACAGAAATAAACACGCCATTTTATTTACAGGCATTCAAAGCAATATGAACCCTAAGACCAAGAAAAAAAGGCACACTCATAAGGCTTTAAAAGTAAATTTCACTACAATACATACTTTATTCTGTTCAGGTAATGTTTTCTTTAGCTTCTCCATTTCCTCTTTGTGTTTCTGTTCCAGCTCAGCCTCCAGTTTGGAGACATCATCCAGTAGCTGTTTTCTCCTCTTTTTGTCATTCTTTGGAACAGCATTTTTCATTCCTTGGATTTTGGCTGAGGAAATACAGATGATGAAATAATTGGTAAGAAAACTAATAACTGAAAAACATTTGAGTTTAATTAACCTGAATATACTGCATTAAATGTATGACTACTTATTTGAGTTTGGTTCTCAAATTGTTAACATGGCACAGTGGTTAGAGTGTTGGACTGGGAAGCTGGGGAATCTAGGTTCTAGTTGTTACTTGGCCATGCAGCTCACTGAATGTCTCTGGGCCAGTTGCTCGCTTTCAACTTAACTGACCTCACAGGATTGCTTTTGTTAGAATAAAATTGAGTTCAAGATTACAAGACGAAAACAAGGCAAGATATAAAAGTAATGTAATAATTAGCACAACTGTGTTGTATTAGAAGTAGCCCTATCTATTCTTGCTTTATTATAAAGCTATATTCCAGAAAGTATCTCTCTCAGAGGGAGGATGGATTGCTCCAGCCATGTTGCTACTAATAGACAGAGCAATCCTATACCTGCTAACAGTCATAAGCTTGCTTAGATCCCCACCTATGAGATCCAAAACTGCTCCCACCTGATAGCTAAGGATCCCTGCTCAGACCTCCCTACCAACACTGCAGCTAACATTGGAAGAATCGTATTGGCTATGTCTCGGAGGTCATAAGAGCAACCTCGGATATAGGGTTTTGGGGAAGGAGAGACCTGTGGGACCAAGATATAATATATTCTTGTGGCACTTCAGCCTTTCCCCCACTCCAAGGCACAGCACTTAGGACAACCAAACTAGGCCATCTTAAGTACTTTGCAAGGCAGGAGGAATACAGAGGCAACTTTGACCTCTGTGCTTTTCCCACTTTGTACAGGATGCTTACAATCCTCCAGTTCAGAGAGTTACGGGCATCCTGATTGGGTTGACCCTATAATATTTATTATTTATGAGATTCAAACATTGGAACTGTTCACATAACTCAACGTCTTACCATAGATGATTTATCCGAAATGTGTGTGGGGTTAGCACAGTCACATTTTATATATGCAACACCTGCTCAGGAATTGACATGTATAAATGGCTTATGCAGGAATTAAACAACCCTTACATTATTCACACTTGCCAAGTTTGCACAACACAACAACCCTCATGCAAATAGGGCGCATAAGCAAAATGGCAGGCGCTGTAACTCATCATGGATTGAATAACCCATGGCAAGGAGTTATCATCCCAACCCAATCAATGTGACCTGATTTACACATTATTTATTTATTTATTTTATTAAAACATTTCTATGCCGCCCCTTGCCAAGGCCTCGGTGCGGCTTACAACATTACACTCACTAACGCATAACATGTGGTTTGTTGCCCTCTCTATATTGACAGACAATTAAAATGTGGATTGTTTTCCTAATTGCTAGGTTGTTTTCATTCTCCTTTCCCACTCTTTCCTGTATTCCAAATGCCTTGTGGCACCATGATACTAGCATGTAGAGCAGGTGTAAGTTTTTGGTTTCTTCTATTGATTCTCTAACAAATAGTCCCTTAAAACAGGGCTAGCCTTTGACCAGACATGCATAGGATTCCACAGCAAGAAATTTCTAGTCACTGAAATACCAAAAAGTTTGTGATGCCATTTCGCCAGCTTTCCCACATCTAGTGCACTCCAAATATTCTGGACTAGAGTTTTTAGAATTCCTGGCTACTGGCCACAACAGTTGGCACTTACGGGATCTGACGTCTAAAGCACCAGGAGGATACTAGCAGCACTGACTCTAAGTCCTTGAGAGCCCTTGGACAAAGCACCTTCCGAACGCCCCTCTCAAAGAATCTACCTTCTCACTAACTTCTTAACCGGCAGCATCCCTGCTGCTCCTCAGCATCCTCTCTAGGCCAGAGCCAGAGGCGAATGAAGAAGTGGGTTACAACGGCGAAAAAGTGCACATACAGAAAACTATTCTTAGTGACGCCTACTTGGGTTTGGGGCCTCAGCAGGTACTTATGCCTACCCCAGACGCCGTCCTGGGCATCTGGCATGTTCGTGTACATCAATGTGTACTCGCCCTCCTCCTTCCCGGCCGGTTGTTAAACGTACAATCTATCCCTTCCATTCAGAGGCCTGCCTCACTCAGCAGCTTGTATTTTGGCGTGGCCTTGCCCTGCCCTGCCCTGCCCTGGACGCCGGATCCTGCAACTTCCTCCAGCCAAGCATCGGCCGTCCTCACCTTGCAGCTCCCGTTTCTCCTTGCGCTGCCGCTTGGCAAGCAGCTCCAGCTCGTCTCCGTCCTCTTCTGCAGCCACCGCCAGCGGCGGCTCTTCTTCGCCAGGCCTGCTCATGGTGGCGGCGGTGGCGGCGGCCACCGCCTACCAAGCAGGAGCGCAGCCAGACTGTTCCTGAACCACGTGCGCGCCCAGCCTTGACGGGGAGGAAATAGCGCCAAGACACGCCCCCTTCCCCTTCTGCGCGCGCCTATCTCCAAGAAACTATAGAGATAAAAGACAGGCGGCACGGCAGAGGAAGGAAGGGCGGTAAAGGACGTTTGTGTGCCTACAGAAATAAGAAAGTGAAGAGTAGTCGTTTCATTAGAAACAATACTTCCGGGTTCGTTTCAGCTTTATTTCGGTAGTGGACTTGACTACTGTTTATAAAAGAAACGAACAATCCCAAACAGCGGATATATCCGAGATTTTAGCATAGCCGTGACTGGGCAGTAATCAGGCAAAAACAAAACAAAAACAAAAAAAGGCTGCGATCCTAAATACCGTTTTCTAGAGAGTAAGTTGCACTCAAGGAGACTTCAATCTCAGCAGCATGGTTAAGACTGAGATGGAAAAGTAACAGCAGAAAGTTCATGTTGTAATTCAATTAATTCCGTTTTTTGAGGGATAGCATTTTAATCATATTCCTATGCATGTTCTGTATGTGTGTGTGTTGGGGGGGGGGTCCTAGGGCTAGCTGGAGCATGCTGGGAATTGTAGGCTATTTTTTCTATCTAAGCATTCATAGAATTGCGCTTTCAAATTTCACCACCAATGTAGTCCTTGACTGTTGCATGCTGTCGTTGCATTGAGCAGCGTGGTGGAGAGAGATTATGTTGTGATAACCCTGCAATGTAGTTCTCTGTAAATTTGTTGGTTAGAAATGTGCATGAAGCTGATCTAGACATCCAGGAGCACTCCCAACACACATACGCCTTAACCATGTATAATGCTTTTCACTCTGTAGTGAAGAGCAACAAACTAGGAATAGTCTCTCAGTCCCCTTCCCAGTTCAACTCCAGACCCCGTGCTCCGTCGCATGCAAAAACATTGTGCTGGATTCATTTCGATGCAGACGTGTTACACTATAATAGCGTAGATTTTCCTCTATTTGCGGGGAGGAAGCAGAACAACGATAGGAAGACAGTGGAGAAAACACCCCAGTCGATTTAGTGTGCCACTTAGTGGCCCATTAGGATATTTCGCCTCCCATTGACTGTAGCTGGCATGTTAGTTTCTCGTTTGGCCATCCTTCTGCCTTCCAGCTGGGGGATCCCCAAACTTTTTTGCACTCATGGGCACATTTAAGAATTTCAGAAACTGCTGCAAGCACCACCAAAGAATGCCTAATGGGTGAATCACTGTCTTAGCATCTATCCATCCTCTCAATGGATCGTAGGCTATTTCTTCTACGACAAAAATGGCTATTTTGGGTCTATTGATAACTACGCTGTCTCTTTAACAAAAGATTGCCTAATCCAGCAAACTGCTGCTGGCGGAGTATAGTTTTTTAAACATATTTTGGCAATGGCCAATAATTGCTTTCAATACATATTGCACAGATAAATTTTGTGCTGGAATAGTCTTTACCAGTCATTGAGAAGCACACTTTAAAATTTACCAACATCATGAATATCAACAAGTGGAAGGGGAACTGCATTCTCTGTGATATTTTGATAGCTAAAAGATTGACATTACATAAGGTAATTGCTCACCTCCTATAATGCAATGGATGGGGACCTTGGAACACTTTCAATGTGCTTGGATGGCGAATAAATTTATTTATTTATTTATTTATTTATTTATAACATTTTTATGCCTCCCCCATCGCAGAAAGCCTGTCAATTTCAAATGAACACTTACTCGTTGAAGCTTATTTGGTCTGCTTTGGTTGAAGCCTAATTGCTAAAACGTTTTAGCAATTTCATACACTTTTGTGTATGTATATTCACAAAACAAACATGTCAAACGATATTTTTTTCCAAGTGCTTGTCTGCACCAGGGAGAGGCTCCCTGAGTACACATTACATGGCAGATCCTTATTCTAGCTCATTAAGCTATGCTCCCCACTGAGGTGAGGGAAGCCTATGAATTTCTCATCAGATCATCTGAGTTTTATTAATTTAAGAAATTAAATCATTCTACCTCACCCAGTCATCTTACAAAATCATAAAATGGCAATAAAATTCCATAACCATAAAAGTACTAGCCGTATTTCTCTGTTTCTCCTTCTATTCTTATTTCCCAGTGAAAGTAGTGGAGTTTATATCAGACAAGTGTGAAGCCTAAACAAGCCTAACAAGAAAAAGCAGACTTGGGGCTGCTTAAAAAGGAACCATTTTTTTCCAGCATAAGCTCTTGTGAACACCATTCCCTGGATGCATGAATTGCTAACTTCAGAGAGGAAGATTTATATAGGCATATGTGGCTGGCCGGGAGATGTAAACTGTGCCATTTGAGGGAACTGAAATGCAAAAAATACAGGCAATGATGATTACTTAACTATATGCCATTCATAACACATCCTTGAGTAATAACACCATTGTAATGCTGTGCTGATTAATATATGTATGTTGCAAGTTTGTTTAAAAACCAAAGTATCTATTCCATATTCAAATCTTGAGTTTCTGATGAATTGTGCTTCATCAATTTCTTATTGATACCTGTCTTTGACATTCATTTATTCAAGAATAGCTACTTTAAGTGCATTGATAGAGTGTCCTGGGAGGTTGAAACTGCAACAGACTTAACAGGACTACACCTCTGGAAAGCCTAACAGTGCAGCAAATCCCCAAGAAGACAGGCTGTGGCCAAACAAGAGAAGCTAAAATCCACAATGTTCAACCAATTTTTAACCAATATGCCAATGTTTCTTCTTCTTACCCTGAATGTAGGGGCTTTTGAGATTCTTATGCCCTAGCAAGTTCAAGGTCACAGGGTGGGAGAATTGGGATTTTACTAAATGGGCTTTTCGGCTTATCTAGTGAGGGTGCATGAGAGGGGAAGGGGGGCTAGAAAGGGCTCAAGATATAGCCTAGCCTCTTTCCTCTCCTTCCTGCCCACCAGAATGCCCCTTTTACTCTTTTTTAAAGATCACTGCAGTTCCTTCCATTCCAGCTATGAGGGGATAATTCCAGCTATGAGGGCGAAATCTCTCAAACTCCTCCTTTTAAGGTTGGAGCAGGAACCTCAGCTGTTTTTTCTGAGTAAACCTATGGTTCCTGGGATACAATATTCTCTCCAATGAATGAAAGCCAGTGAGAGAGAGAAAATGGGAAGAAGCTGAGCAATCCCGTTCTTCTATTCTAAATAGCCAGCTGGTGGTCAGGCATGTTGACCAATATTTTCAGATAAAAGAAAATAGTCTTATTCACTCTGGAAAACATGGGTGGTAGGTGCCACTTTATCAGAAAAGTGAAGTAAAAGTGGAAGGCTGAGAATGCCTCAGAAATTTATTCTCTGTAACCTCTGAATAGCCGTTTACACAGACACAAACTGGCAGCACCACACATGAGCAGTCCTTAATTAGCTGGAAGCAAACAAGCTTAGAAACATCTAAGAATAGATCAGCTTCCATGTTTGCAGACAGTTGATTTTCATGAGAGGATATGTTGTAAGCCGCCCCGAGGTTTTGGCAAGGGGCGGCATAGAAATGTTAATAATAATAATAATAATAATAATAATAATAATAATAATAATAATAATATAGGGAGTGCTGGTAATCCACTGGGAATGCCAAAAGCTAGGCCAGAAGAATATTTTTAGGTGATGCAAAAAGTTTTTTCCAGCTGTCACACTTCCGAGTTTCCAAAAAGGATACTTTTAAGCCTTGGGATTGAAAATGCTTGTATTGTTCTAAAAATAAGGTTAAGAAACATAGCAGAAGGATTAGAAAAGGAATGACAAGAGATGCCATATGGAATTGATAATAGGAGCATTGCAAGAGCTCATGTTTCAAGATAAGAAGAAAAGGCTGCTCTTTGTGTAAATGAAACCACTGACAGCCACAATAACTGCTGTCTTGTTGATCTGCCATAGTAAAAGAGATTGTGTTACAGCAGTGTATGGCAACTTTGCAACTTGTATGGTTTTTCAGATAATGCAAAGCTTTTACAATGTTAAATATTACATTAGAAGGAAGGTTATGGCGTAATCCATCACAAAAATGATTAGGAACAGTGCACCAAATGGATTTGCATTGCCAGTGTAACATAGCCAGCAGGTTATACTAAATTGCTTTAGAAAATGAACTAGGTATAGAGCACCAGGGAACTAGCACCATGCAGGGGGTCAAAGATTTCCCCATCCATCATAGCAGTTTTCTGGCACAGGCAGAAATCTAGAGAAGCAGGAAAGGTCCAGCATTTTTTTCACCTTACAGGCTAATGTCTTCATCACTGCCATACCTGATTGCACATCCATAAAACAGAGAAGTAAGTGGATATGTGCTAAAATAAATAGGCATCCACAGCTACTCAGAATCCTGGGATCAACTGGCAAGGCCTCCCCCAACCTGGTGCCCTCCAGATACGTTGGACTACAATTTCCACATGCAGGAGAGAGAGAGAGAGAGAGAGAGAGAGATGTGTGTGTGTGTGTGTGTGTGTGTGTGTGTGTGTACACTTCAGTCCCAAAATTGGATGTCTGCAAATATGTCTTCAGAAGAATATTGGTCAACTGATATATCACTACAACACTACAGAAAATATGATGTGGTAACAAGTGGAAGGATGTAACATTGACATTGCTGGAAGCTAGCACATGTTTTGAGAGTGTTTGGAGCTTTTCCAGTGAGTGTTTTTCCTTTAACTTGCAAGTGGCTTTTATTTTCCCTACACTTAAAATATATTTCTCCTCTTTCATAATAATCAGAGTATTTTATTCATTAAAGATTCTTTACCTGATCTCTTGCACATGTTCTAGACAGTAAAGGAAATAAACTCTAGCTAAGATGGAGCTTTCAGAGTTACATCCTCAGAGCAGACTTTTGTAAATCTATCTCAGAAGATATAACAGACTTATTTTGCTATGGTTTTAAAAGCCATGGTTAAAGTAGATGTTTTTCACAGAGGAAATTCTAGACTGGTCTTTGAGACAGAGTGGGCAAACTTCATGCTTGTGGGATCAACTTTTTTTTTTCTTTTGATGGGAGGGAACCTTGAGATCTACCCACTAGAAAAGGGGTTCCTCGCCTGGAGTGCTCATACCCCCTGGGAATGCAACATGGCATTTCAGGGGGGTGTGACAAAGAGGAAGGCTGTATCACAATTTATCAAAATTGGCAGATTGCAATGTTTTTTGACAAAAATGATCCCAACAATAAAATTATTTATTATAATTTTGTTTGCATGTGGATTCAGTTCTCTCTTGACAATCAAGACAAAATCTAGGAATCGCCTGAATCTACAGGCAGACTTGCAGATCACAATCAGCAAGAACGTTCCATGTTTTGACAAAATTCTGAATGATAAGCAGGAAAAAAGAAGTCATTGAATTTTATGTTCACACTTGGGACTGTTTTTATTGTTTACATTTTTTCTAATTGCTCAATTTATATTTGAATTTTATGCACTGAATTTTTTAGTTCAATTTGTTCACCCACCATACTGTATGTGATTTTATTTATTATTATTTATTATTTATTAAAACATTTCTATGCTGCCCCATTTGCCGAAGCCTCAGGGCGGCTCACAACATTAAGTTAAAATACAAACATTAAGTTAAAACATTACCTTAACATAACATTAAGTTAAAATGTTTGTAAAATACAAACATTAAGTTAAAATGCAAAAAATAACAATATAAAATAAGTCGCCCTGGCCAGATAAAATCAAATAATATTAACAATTAAAATGATGCTTAAATAAAAAGGTCTTCGCCTGGCGCCGAAAAACAAATAACAACGGAGCCAAGCGGACCTCTCTGGGGAGCGCATTCCATAGATTAGGCGCCACCGCAGAGAAAGCCCTCCTCCAAGTACCCACCCTCCTAATTTCTTTCACGGAGGGTTCCCGGAGAAGGGCCTCTCCCGCAGATCTCAAGGGGCGTGATTCAATTTGTGGTTCAAAAATTATTAATTTGTCTTCTTCATCTTCAAATGTGATATTATTTTTGTAGGGGATGTGAACGTAAATCAAACATTTTCTAGGGGTACTGGGCATAGAAAAAGTTGGGAACCAGTACACTAGAACAAGGCGTAAAACGCATACCCTTAGCATTAAAGAATTTGGATGCGGGAATATTTCTTGACTATCAGAATTGCCCTCACATGCCTGCCACACACACACAATCTACTTCTGCTTACCCCAGGCTTTCTCATTTCAGCAGTTTAATTTTAAGATGGGGCAGAGTAGAAGGAAGTCATTTTCTTGCTGTTATTGTTAAACATCTGGTCATCAGAAATCCTTGTAATTCTACTGCAAATTGCCTAGTGATCTGCCAGTAGATCTAGATCCACCTTCTGCCTCCCAATGTGCTGAGATATGTGAATGCTGCCTGTCATTCACTAGAAGCCATGATCATCTAAAAAACGGATGTACAAAATCCTACAGTTTATACCACTTCATAATTCTTTCCCAACTACTGGGCAGTGTTGTTCTATACTTCTGAAGATGGCTCATGCCGCATACCTTTAGCTAAGAGCATGGAAGATTATACAAGCAGTGACCTAATTCACACATGAGCATGCAGCCCACTTATTGCTTCTGTTTTGCATGGAGTTTATCATCTTCTGAATTCAGACAAGTGTAGGGGGAGGATCAGGGCTCTGGGAGCAGGGCTTTAGAGATACTGCAGGGACTGACAGGACTCCTACAGAGAGGGGCCAGGTATCAGGGAGGAAGGAGGAGGCTGGGAACTCCAAGGAAAGGAAGCGATGGGAAGGAGTTGAGGTGCATGTACACCAATGCTAGGAGCATGGGTAATAAGCAGGAAGAGCTTGACGCTCTCCTGGGAATAGGAGGGTATGACCTGGTGGGAATCACAGAAACTTGGTGGGATGAAAGGCAAGTCTGGAATGTGAACATAGAAGGGTATCACCTTTTTAGAAAGGACAGGAAGGGAGACATGGGGGCGTGGCTTTATATGTCAGGGAAGGGATAGGATGCAGTGAGATAGAATGCAGCACAGATGGGGATTTGGCAGAGGCAGTCTGGGTGAAACTTAGGGGTTTTGACAGGGAAAGAGACCTTACAGTGGGGGTATGTTATCTCCCTCCAGGTCAACTTGAGACCCTGGATGATGTCCTGACAGGCCAGATTCTAAGGATATCTCGGGGGACAGACACAGTAATTATGGGAGATTTCAATCTCCCGGATATTACTTGGGAGACTCACTCGGCAGTGACAGCCAGGTCATGTCGCTTCCTAGAAGCTATAGAGGGAGGGTTCTTCACACAGAGGGTCCGAGAGGCGACGAGGGGGGGAAACATCCTTGACTTGGTCTTGACCAATAGGGAGGAGCTGATAGATGAAGTACAGATTAGGGGAGCTCTGGATGCGAGTGATCACTCCATCCTTTGCTTTGAGATCAGGGGACTGGGGACGTGCAGCAGGTCGAGCACTAGAAGCTGGAACTTCAAGAGGGCCAACTTTGGCCAACTGAAGGCCAGACTGGGAAAAGTCTCCTGGGATAGGTTATTGGAAGGTAAGCGAGTTGAGGAGGGGTGGATAGCACTCAGAAGTGAGGTTTTGGAGGTGCAAGCCTTGACGATACCTCTAGACATTAAGGTGAGGAGGCGGAGGAGAGTGCCACCATGGATGCGAAAGGAGGTGGTTAGAGGGATTAGACGAAAGAGGAACCTCTGTAGGAGATGGGTACTGGGGCAAATAGACAAAAGGGTGTACCGGGAGGAGGAGGCCCGTTGCAGAAGGATTCTTCGCAAGGCTAAGGCTGATTACGAACTGAGACTTGCCAAGAATATCAAGAGCAACAAAAAGGGCTTCTTTCAGCATGTAAATAGGAAGAGGAAGGGGAGACAAGTGGTGGGACCACTAAAAAAGGAGGAAGGAGATCCAGTGACTGATATGAGGGAACAGGCACAGATGCTAAATGACTATTTTGCCTCTGTGTTCTCTCCAAAGCAGGACGGGGGATATCCGCATAGGGGATTAGATGAGGCTGGGGACTTAGGAGCACAGATTAGAGTCACCCCCTTGAAGTCGAGGGGCTCCTCAGGGCATTGGACATTACAAAGGCGCCAGGTCCTGACGGGTTACACCCGAGAGTACTTAGAGAGTTGGCAGGGGTTCTCTCACGCCTGCTGGCCTCCATTTTTGAGACCTCGTGGAGAATGGGTGAAGTTCCAGAGGACTGGAGGGTGGCATCAGTGGTCCCAGTTTTCAAAAAGGGTAGTAGAAAGGACATGGGGAATTATAGACCGGTTAGCCTTACGTCAATTGTAGGAAAAACAATGGAAAGGCTCATAATAGAGAGAGATCTAGTGATGCTAGATAGGGAAGGGAGGCTGACAGCCACACAACACGGCTTCCTCAAAAACAGGTCCTGCCAGACAAACCTTGTATAATTCTATGACAAGGTTTCGAGATGGCTAGATGGAGGGGATGCAGTGGATGTGGTATACCTGGATTTCAGCAAGGCCTTTGACAAAGTGCCCCATGATATCCTGGTGGAGAAACTGAGGAGTTTTGGGATACACCAAAGCACTGTCTGGTGGATTAGGGCATGGTTGACTGACCGAAAGCAGAAGGTAACCATTAGTGGGGAATCATCGGGATGGTGGCCAGTGACAAGTGGGGTCCCCCAGGGCTCTGTCCTAGGGCCGATCCTGTTTAATCTTTTCATTAACAACATGGAAGAAGGGGTGAAGAGTCTGCTGATCAAATTCGCAGACGACACTAAAACTGGAGCTGTGGCCACAACTGAGGAGCAGGTACTCCAGATCCAAAAGGATCTGGACAGACTATGGAAGTGGGCAGGAGACAACAGGATGGTGTTCAGTGTGGATAAGTGCAAGGTCTTGCACTTGGGGCATAGGAATAGGTGTCATAAGTACAGGTTAGGTGACAAGTGGCTGGAGAGCAGCACTTGTGAAAGGGACCTCGGGGTACTGGTTGCCTGCAGGCTAAACATGAGTCAGCAGTGTGATGCGGTGGTCAAGAGGGCGAATGCCACCCTTGGTTGCATAGCCAGAAGTGTGACTTCTAGATCAAGAGAGGTATTACTACCACTTTACACGACTCTGGTGCGTGCGCAACTGGAGTATTGTGTTCAGTTTTGGGCCTCTCATTACAGAAAGGATATAGCCAGGTTGGACTCAGAGCAGCGTAGGGCCACAAGGTTGGTGGCCGGTTTGCAGGGGACGCCGTATGAGGCGAGACTGAGGGAACTGGGTCTCTTCAGCCTGGAGAAGAGGAGACTCAGAGGGGATATGTTGGCGACATACAGGTATGTGAGGGGATGCCACATGGAGATGGGTAGAGACCTGTTCTCCCCTGCAGAGGAAGGCAGGACGCGCTCCAACGGAGCAAAGCTCAGGGAGCCAAGGTTCCATTTGGATGCCAGGAAGCACTTCCTGACAGTTAGGATGCCAAGGGTATGGAATGGGCTTCCCCGGGAGGTGGTTGAGGCCCCATCGGTGCGGGTGTTCAAGGATAGGCTGGACGTCCACATGGTGGGCATGTCGTGAGCAGAGCCGGCTGGTGCCGGAGGTCAGACTGGATGGCCCAGGAGGCCCCTTCTGACTCGCTCTGTTTCTATGTTTCTATGTTTTCTATGCCTTGAGTGTAATTTTTGAAAGAAAGGACGGGCGGGGGGGAAGGGAATCAATTAGAGATAGATGATAGATACAGATATATAGATATAGCTAGATGTATGTAGGATTGCCTGTTTATTGACATTACCTTCTCCTGTTTTCATTTTCAGCCAGCTTAGTTTGCCTTTGGTGTCACCATCAAGCTTTTATTTTATATTTGATATTTATAAAACACAGTAGCGATTTTTTCAGAATAAAAACAAACAAGTTAAAAACAAGACAAATTTAATTCTATTTTAATACAATGTTTAAAGGCCAAAGGAAACCTCCAGTTCTGAAACTGTTTCACCTATTTCTGGGTTAAAACCTGGGAGTCATTGATGAGTCACCACAGTTTAATTTTCAGGTATCCACCTATAAACTGAGGAGCATCCATATAGCAGCTGCTGGTTTCTCTTTTTAACCCACTCAAAATATGTTCGGTTTCTCCACTTCTGCTGCTCTGTTCAGAGGCTTACAAAAGATAAGAGTAATTATCAGTAAAGAGTATTACAACACTACAGTAACAGTAAAGACTACTGTATTATAATTGCAAGGAAATACAGTTGTGGTTCTCATTTTCATTTTCAAAAACAACATTCCTTGCATTAGAAAAAGGTTCATAATCCTTACCAGCCTCAGCACTTGCAAAAACCCTAAATCTGCCATTTATTTTAATCCTGTGGTCAAAGAGCAAGAATTTCCATCATAACTTAAATGACTCTTCCCTGAAGATAGAGCTCCCACCAAAACAGTTATCTCTTAATTGCAATAATGCTATCAACTTCTCTTGATTGCTAGATAGCCAGAATCCTTTAAATCCCAGTCTGTTGTCTGAATTGCTTCAAGCTCAGATTATTAGCATAAAATGCATTATTCACAGAAACCTCTGCTTCTTTTGCTTTATCCACTTTCACCTTTGCCCTGCTTTTACTTACCTCATCAAGCAGGCCCTTTTCTCTTCTGTCACTTGGACAAAAGAGTTCCCTCTGTGTTACATTTTAGACTCCTTGGCCACAGCTACAGTGTAAGCTTGAGCCAATATTTATTGAAGCTTTCCAATAGCAGCAACAAGGAAATGTTGCACAAGAACCCTGGTGCAAGATTCTCTACATAGCATCAGGACTAGAAATTTGTCTTTCATAAGAACAGAAGGACCACTGCCCTGGACCCCTCTTTTTTAATTACTAAGAACACAGGTTTCTTCATGATAGGACCTGAAGTAGCAGAGCTGGCATGAGAGGAATCTCAGCTGTCAACATCTCTGTTTTATTTACCCTTTGCACAATCACAGACCCACAAGAAGAGCTGGTTCAAAGTTTATTGCACAGAGAGTCACAGTGGACAGCCTGGCTCAAGACTTTCCCATGTCATTCATAACAAACCATATTATTTTCATAACCAGATTCATATTCCATCTTTAATGTTGAAAGGTGGGTTACATGTTCCTCCTTCTCTCCATGTTATCCTCACAACAACCCTGTTAGGTAGGTTAGGCTAAGAGTCAATGACTGGCCTAAGGTCATCCTGTAAGGTTCATGGCTGAGTGGGGCAGGAAGTCAAACATCCCTAGTACCTGTCAAATAGGCTAACCATACTACCACACTGCTTCTATTAGTTGGGTATTACAGCTCCAGTCATGGGGGAACATGAGTGGGGAAATGCTGCTGTTCTGATGTCCTGCATGTGGGTTCCCCTGAGCAGCTGTTTGGCCACTGTGTGCACAGAATGCTGAACAGGAGGGACCCTTGCTCTGATCTAACAGGCACTTACGTTTTTATGACGTGTGTAAGGTCACCATTATGCCCTCAAGAGGTATCCAAAATAGCAGGTAGCTGCTTGATCCATGCAACAACAAGTTCTGGGAGTTTTCATCTTCACCACAGCTGTAGTTGTAAAGCTTCTGGGTCTTATCTGCTCATCAGGACCAAGCTACCCAAGAATAATTTGCATTACAAAAAAGAGCATTATATTGTTGCCAGGAAAAATGATTTGCCCCCTTGCTATGGTAAAGATTGCAGCTAAACTCGGAGGGAAATATGAAGGAGGTGGCAAGTATGTTAGCATCCCTGCTAATAAAAGAGGGACAGTGCTGCTTCCCTCAGGCCCTGACTCCACTACATCATGAAGCTAGTTGTTGCTGCTCAGTCACACAGTTGTGCCCCACTCTTTGTGACCCCACGGACCATGGCATGCCAGACCCACCTGTCCTCCAATGTTTCCTGGAGTTCACCCAAATTCATGTCCAGTGCATCAGTGGCATCATGCAACCATCTCATTCTCTGCCACCCTCTTTTGCCTTCCGTCTTGCCCAGCATTGGGGTCTCTTCCTCTTATTATGTGGCCAAAGTATATGAGCTTCAGCTTCAGCATCTGTCCTTCTAAAGAACAGGCAGATCATTCATGTTCCCCAGTATGCTTACATTCTGGAGACCATGTCTCAGTGGCAAGAGCAGCATATGTTTTATTTGTAAGAAGTGCTTGCCCTCCCTGCCAAAGGAGGCTAGGTTGGTTCTTTCTCTGGTCCTTCCACCACAAAGATTCAGGCAGGCCTTTGGTACATGAGCTGGTCTGTTGCTGATCTTCTCTCTCATTACTACCATTTGCCTGCTTGCAGGCAGAGAACAGGGAGCACATAGGCATCTATGTACTGTGCTTCCTTCTCGTTACGGTACTCTGGGGGCCAGAGCAAGAAGCAAATGGACAGAGAGGTTGTAGTAGCAAGAGAAGGAGCAAGTCCAAAAGGGTCTCATCACTTGCTGAGGTGTGAGCTCTTTGCAGGTGCCCAGCTAGGCCCACCCTGTTTGCCCCTCCTCAGAAGTAACCCTAATTGAATTGGATTCCTCAGTAAATGTAAGTTTGTGCAATAGGAAATAAAAAATGTACTTCTTAACTGAGGGGTATATTTTCACAGAGATGCCACAACTTTGTACAGTTCTTTCACCGTGCACTGTATCGCTTTCCCAAAATGCTTAGTATTTTCAGACTTTCAACATTTCAGAGCACACAGTTTCGAGTTGTGAAATCCAATCTTTTAAATATCAGTACTGTGACTGCCCAGCAGGCAAAGACTCTCCACTGCTGGGTACGAACTGAGGACAGAATCCAGGCAGGGCAGTCACAGTATGGAGCCAAGTTCAATGAATGGGATATGCTGCCTAATCTATGCCGACTTACTCAGGAGGAAGGTGTCCTGATTTCAGTGGAATTTGCTCTCATGTAACTGCTCCTGAAAATTCAAGGATAGTAGCATAAGCCAGACCTCTCTCAAACCCTACCGTACTTATTACAATTCATCAGAAATTCAGAGCAGAAAAAAATGGCTTCAAGTATGTGTGTATGGGGAGGCTCACACAGGGTTAGAATAAATTTTTCTAAGAATTATACCTGATTACTGGTACAACTGGTCCAGGATTGTTCTGGCCCTGAGAAGAGTACAGTATCCATTTCTGCTGTAAAAATGGAGCTCTTTCTTTCCATTACCATATCTGGCTTTCTCCTGCTGGGGTTTTCTGCCCAGGCCTCTTATCTTACAACAGGCAGAACACAAGTGCAGCTTGAAGGTCATAGTCCCCTGCATGTTTAGACAGGGGGAGAGAAGTCTTACAAGTGGCAACTTTCACCAACCATGGTGGACTTTTTTCTGTCTAAAATGTGTATATGCTTGTCCCCTAAGTACTCAAGTACCCACCAACAACCAGAGCAGGTGGTAGGGGTGATGGAAGAGGATGACAATGGGCTTAAGAAGGTAGATTCACTGAAGGAGGGGGCTTGGAGGGACCCTTACCCAAGCGCTCTCAAAAACCTGGAACTGACATTGGGTGTGTGTATCAAAAATAATTTGCTGCCTGATTAATTAGAAGCACCGTTTTAATCAACAAAAAGTTTTAAGGAAAAAAACTCCCAGGTCATGGAAACAACTGTTGTAGCCCTAGGATACAATCCAATGCAAGTCATAGAGTCGACCAAATCAATAAAAAATTTCTATGCATTTTAATAGGCCTCCCCTAAATAAGACCTGCACTGGATCGTACTTTGGACTCCGTCCGCCTTTTCTTTCCCATGCTTTTTTCTTTGAGCGCCGTGTCCGGTCCTTTTAGGTTGCGAGCCTGCCGGCAGGGACGTCCCCCGTGTCACTGCTCGCCTTGTGAAACGTTCAGGGGGACTTTGGGACGGAGAAGCGGGATAAAAACCCTTGGAAGAAATAATGCACCGAAGTAGCGCAATGTCCGCATTTGGTTACGTTACGGCTAAAGTCTGCCGCCCGTCCTTCTCCCCACCCCAACTTTTGCAGTGATGGCAGGGAGCGGGGGGGGCTCCCCGGAGTCCCTCCCCCGCCTCGCCGGCTCCCTTGCGCCTCGGAAACAGCCCGGGCGAGCGTCTCCCACGCCATCCCCGCCCCGCGCTCCCTCGCCCCCCCCTCCCCCGCCCCGCCCCGCCCCCCCCCCCCCCCCGCTCGCGCCTGCCCTCTCCCCGCTCCCCTCCCCCGCGCTCCGCCGCCTTGTGACACGCACATTGTGGGAGTGTGTGCCTGGCGATCGGCGCTTCCCTCGCCAGCAGCCTCTCCTTTGCCGCCGCCGCCGCCGCTGCAGCAGTCATGGCTGCGGACGGGGTGGACGAGCGGTCCCCGCTGCTGTCAGCGCCCAGCTCGGGCACAGTGACGCCGACAGCCCCGCCGTATTTCCCAGGCAGCAGCCCGAGAGGTAAGGCAACGCGCTCCGGCGCTCCCGCCGCCCTCGCCGCACGAGCCGCGGCTCCGCTGCCCTCCCCTCCCCAGGGACTAATTTTTGCAGGCACGGTTGCCCCAAACGCCCTCGGCCACCGCGGCCAACTCGCGCGGGAGAGGCGCGGGAGAGCCCTTGCAGGGTGCGCGTCCTCGCCCGCCGGCAGCCGCCCCCGGAATCCCGCGCCGCTGCGGGGCTTTTCCCGGCGCCTCTCCGGGCTGCGGGGCTGCGGATGAGTTGGCAGTGTGCGCCTCTCTCGCCTTCTGCCTCGTCCCCGCGCCAGCCCTACGCGCGCATTGTTAATGGCAAGGGGCAGAGTCCTTCGCGCATCCATTCCGCCCGGCCATGTGCAGTGGGCGGGGTGGGGGCCCTGCCGTGCGCGGGGGGGGGGGCGGGTGCGCGTTCGCGGTGCACATGGCTCCCGTGTCCTTGAGGGAAGGCTTGCGCTCCAGAGCCGCTCGATCCGCATCCCTTCTCGCTCCCCCTCCCCCAATTCTGCTGAATCAGGGGGCTCTCCTGGAAAGGAAAGGCAGGGCCAGGTGCGCAAGTTGCGAGCCGATCGCTCATCTAATCTGGACGGGCTTCCTCGTCGTCCTTAATTTCCAAACCCAGCCAGCCAGCCGACTTTTGGCTAGGAGGTGAAGGAAAGCTAATTAAGGCCTAGTTTGTGTTGCACGAGTTAACAAAAAGGACGGGGAGAGACGCGATTATATCAGCTGACAAAGACATCAAGAGAGGTTTGAAGTGCTGAAAGGTCCCACTAGATTCAGGCATTCCTGTAGATTTGTATATAAACACAAGGTGGTGTTTGATCTCTAATAGATATCACAGGTGTTCCTGGCAATTATCCCTTCTGACCTGGATGCACATACTGCCATTCGAGGTATGTGGGAAGTGGCAGATTCTTATATTGAAAGAAGGGCACTTTGCATATGCACATGGAACTCTTTTTATTATATATAATAAATTCTAGCATGGAGTTCTGCAAATCCAAATTCTAGATTTGCACTCACGAGATCATATTAGGAAAGTGCAAAAATTTCAGCACAATAAGCCCCACAGTGTCATGGACTTATTCCCAGGTACATAGAATTGAATTGACCAATGCCTGATAGAAATAAGTCTGAAGTTCTGCCTATTATTTACTGCTTTTAGGCACCTTCCAGGCTCAGTAACAACAGGTAGCTCTTTAATGAAAGCAAGAAGAATCTTGTCACTGACAACTGTATTTAGGCTCATCTTTGCATTGTGTGCCTTTTTGAAGTTGCAAGGCAGACTTACAACAGACTGATTACAATGTTCAATAAGCATGTGAGGACTTGAACAGTAATTCTGTCATTTTAATTAGAGGTGGGGTTAAGTTAAACTGGATAGTTAAATTTAGTTATTGCAACAAGCAGAGCAGATTGATTTGAAATCCAGGCAACATAAGCCATTGTTTCAATCACTAAGGATAATAGCCAATTTAAAATTGTTGACTTAAGTTTTCTGCTTGTACTCATCTATTTCTTGAACAATTCTGCATATATATTAAATTATTTAAAATAGATTGATTAAAATATTAATCTAATTTAATCACTAAATTAAATTATTTAAAATAGATTACATATTAATCTAACCACTAATCTTATACCACTTACCTGGAAATAGCCCTTAATGAATTCACTATGTGAACAAAATGCTGGACTAGATGGATTTTTGGTCTTATAAAAATGGCTTTTCTTATGTACTTAATTCAGTGGGACATATTTCAGAGTAGACAGGAATATACAAACAACTCATTGACCTAGATCAAGTTCCATTTAGTCCAGCATTCCATTACATAGTAGCCAGTAAGCTCATAAACAACACATGAGTGCAAGAGCACTCTCCCACCCATGTTCCCCAGGAACTGGTATACATGGGTATACTGCGTCTGATACTGGAGGTAGCATATGGTCATCAGAACTAGCAGCCACTGATAGCCTGCTCCACCATGCGATACAGCATACACTTTGCATACAGAAAGTTCCTAGGACCAATGCTTGTTATCTGCAGGACGGACAGGAGACACTCTTGCCTGTATCCCTGGAGAGCCACTGGCAGTCAGGGTCCACAATACTAGGCTAAACAGCCCAGTGGTCTGACACTATTAGATTCACTCCTGTGTTACAGAGTGCCATATCTGGAACAGGAGTTTTCATTGTCTGCTTGAGGAATCCCTGCAGAACTTGATACCCTTTCCCCGCAGCAAAAGCTGCTAGAAGACTAGAATTTAGACCATTCCATGTGTAACTCATTGACATTCTCATGGTTAACACGAGAGGTTCTGCTTCCCACATTCAGTGGAAGGTTAGAAAATTTAGTTATGGAACCTTGACTGGAAAACATCCATCTAACAAAGTACGCTTCTTTCTGGGATTGCTGCTGTTTTAATGTTCATTCTTCCTCCTATAAATCTCCTGCCTTGTCCCATTTCATCTGTAACCCTGAAAAACAAAGTAGCTAACATGACAAAACTTTTGCTCCTTAAAGCCCGTGTGTCTTTGTGCTAGTGTGGCCGCCTGCCTAGAGACAACTACATGTGCCAAGAGCATTCCAGAAGCAAGGGCTAGTCAGAGCATTCTGTTGTCCTGAGGCGAAAAGGAAATGCTCTTGTTTGCATGAGTATGTAAATAATTGTAACTGGAGACCTATGTGTAACTACAGAGCTTGTATAGCTACAGAGCACAGCAACAGACATAAATGAACTCAGTCAGATGAGCCCAGTAGATGCTTTTCTTAATAAAATGCATCTTCTGGAGCCAGAGACTGGCTGTTAATGCCTGATATGGCTCATTAGTCCCTGAACCCCACACTATTCTATTGATATAGCATATGACCTCTTATGCCAATTTAAAATGCTTGACCTCAGAACCTATATGTCACATAATTCATTATTTTCACAGAAAAACACCTTTATCCTAGTGTGTTTGAGGCCCTGAGATTGATTAACTGTTAGGAAATTACAAACATGCTTTAATGTGCTGAAGTTTGCTATTTAATAAGGCTATCTTTTAAAACACATATGCAATATTAGAAGGGTTTTTTAAAGCAATGATTTCAATCCCCCAAAACATTAAAAATATTTTAAGAGATGGCAGTCTTTAGGCAACCCAATGGCAAATACTTGACCAAAGAAATCCCCCTGGAATATAATAGAACTCTAACAATGCAATCCTATATATATTTGCTCAGAGGTAAGATCCACTGAATTCAACAAGGCTTATTCCCAGAAAGGCAGCGCAACCAAAGTGAAGAAAGTAGAAACCCTCATAGTATCAATATAAACTGATCAAAACCATTTATCATAATTATTTATCGTTGGATTTTGGCAAGTAAATATTTACTGTTTCATCACAGTGATAAGCAGTATTTGAGCTGTACTGGGTTCAGTGGGAGTGATCTAAGTGTGTGTTTGGATTTCTTCCACTAGTGGGGCTCTAAGATGTGCTGAACTTTGGTTGGATCATGCTCTTGGTTATTTGTTGGGTCAAATTGGCAACAACAAATATTATTCATCTTAACTTGAAAACGTGAAAAGGTAACATTTTAACATGTAATAATATGTAAATAAAGTGCCTGTCATCTTTTGAAATGGGTTTCCAAATTTAGAAAGAAACGATAAGTATAAAGTTAGAAAGAGCATGTGCACAATACAAGCAAAGGTAAAATGTGATAGTCGCCTGTGAGGCAGGAGCGAAGGCCCTTTTGTGACTGTAAATTTTTTGACAATATATACAGCTATACTGATCTCATAATTTTGTGAGTTACTTGAAGCTGCATTGTATAGCTCCCAACAGGACCTTAGTCATTCATCTCAGTAGAATATCTGAATCTTTACATAGAATATGTTAGCACCTGAGGGTATCTTGTATTCATTCACCAAAGCTCCATAAATCTTTGAATTACAGCCTTTTACAATGTATTTGCATGGACTCTATCTTATATTATGATGTTAATATGAACATTTTAAGGACGCTGAAAACAGTAAAAACATTCAAACAACAAATCTTTAAAAAGCTAGACTGGAAGGACTAGTCTTCACAGCTTTCCTAAAGGCCAAGAGATGGGGGCAGGGGGTCAATCATTATTTTGAGGGGATGACGCAGGAGAGAGCCCTTTCATGTATGCCCAACAAATAGGCTTCTGTGGCTGAGTGCCACAGACCTCTCATGGCTAACATAAGTCTCATTGATTTCAGTGGATCCACATGAAGCATGAGAAAACTAAAATCTTATACCCTCATACCTGGGAGCAAACCTTAATGAATCCCATGACACTCATTTCTGAGTGGACATCTGTTTGATTGCACTTTAAGTCTGCATTCAACTCCATGCTTTCATTCAGATGTTTTCCTTCCATCACTTGCGTTAAAACACAGTAACCATTTTGCAACCTTTTAACTATCCAAAACAAAAAATGTTTAAAAGTTAATCAATGCTAAGAAAAGTCTGCCTTCTGTTCTCAAAACAGCTTTGACCCATTCTCCCTTTTGATGCGGAGGAGATGTAAGCTGCCTTGAGCCCTTTGTAGGAAAAAGGCAGGATATAAATCGAAAAATAAATAAATAAAATAAAAAAATTGGGCAGTTGTACCGAACTGGTGGTTAAGATTAAATGGAAGACAGTGCAGCAATTCCATTGTTCAGCCCTACATTCCAGAAGCTCAGGATTGCCTACACTGCATTATGCCATTTTATCCTCACACCAGTGCCATACCCTAAGTTAAAAACAATGGGTGTTGCGCACCTTGTAGGCTAACTTTTTTTAATATACAATGAAAAGTGATACAATTAAAATATGGATATAATAACAGTGTAAAATTTAAATATACAACAAATCAAAACAGATTAAACACTTAAACCAATTTCAGTAAAACTAGATCTAATTGAAGTAGCTGTCATAACCTATTGTACCATTAAATGCTTTGAGATAGGGTGCGGTTTTAACCTGATGACA